CTTGGCCATTTTGCACCGGATCACATGGAGCGCTTGGACAATCTTCTCATTGTCTGGTTACATTTCTTTATTTCTTTATTTCCCCTTTCTTTTAATCCTCTCTAGTCCCTTAAATAATTTAATTCCCCCCTTTTCCTGTTCGATTTCCCACCCCACCCCTTACCCTGCCCTGTGGGAAGATTCTCCCTGTAACTGTGGCTTGCCTTTCCCAATACGGAGAGAGCCCCCGTTAGGGGCTTTCTTTCGCAAAAAGGTTTGCCCCATTTCTCTTGTTGAAATTGTGGGGCTAGTCAGGGCTGTTCCCAGCTTAGCTGGAATCACTTTCGTTTATAGTATCCCCGAAGGTTGGCTTTATTTTGAGTGTGTGCAGTGCTGTTGGCCAAATTTTAAGCTAGCCTTGGGTGGGAGCACTAATTTGAGTTCCTTTAATATTGCTATGAGACTAAGATTCTCAAGAGCAGAAGCAGGGAGGCCTATTCGGCCTGCACATAACTTCCAAGCCTAAGTCTGCTACAGGTAGCAGTTAATTGTTAAGTCTCTGACACGTGACTCATTCTCGCTATAGGAATGTATCTGCTTGCAGGCCCAGTTGCTGCTAATGTATATCTGAGGCAGACAGAGGGCGCCAGAGGCTCTCTGTGCCTCCAAGGACTATGAGCACTCTGTATATGCTCTGTAACTATGCTGTTTCTGAACAAGTTTATTTTCTTTAAGTTGGTTTTGCCCTGATAGTGGCGACTGCCATTTTAGAGATGAGCCATTGTGGCTTAGTGGCTAAAGTGTAGGACTAGGACCTGGGAGACAGGGTTCATATCCCCCTCTTAGCCATTGTTATAACAAAACAAAACAAACTGCTCCTTTTGGGCTATTCTGTTGCTGGGTAGTTAGGCCCATTTGTGATAAAAGAACTTTGGGTTTCTTGAAGGGGTGCTTCCCTCTAAAAGGGCAAGCAGGGGTACCTGGACAAGCTGTGGGCTACCTCAACTCTGCTATTTCACTGGAAACATTTATGCCTGGCCTAGCAGGTGATCCTAGGGCTTTGCCCTAGAATTCAATGGCCTGGAAGCGTTTCCGGCCTGAATAGTGTCCCCATGTGGTCCATGAAGCATTGGTTTCACTGGGTCAGCGCATAGTGCTGGTAATGCCTGGGTTGCAGGATTGGTCCCTGTATGGGACAGCTGCATGCTCCCCCATTGCTCTACCTGGACACTTAAGTCCTTTCGGTGGTTACCTCACTGCGAGGGATGTAACGGGCGCCACGTTTGCAATATGCAAGCGGGAGAAAGCACCTTTGCGTGCCCGCATTGCAGTTTGTGTGTTGCAGGGCACGGCGCTGCACGGGCTGCAAATGCATTGCATTGCATGAGAGATTTGCAGTTGCATTGCACGGAGCGTGTGTGCATTGCATGGAGGGTGTGTGTGCATTGCACGGAGGGTGTAGTTGCATTGCACGGAGTGTGTTGTTGCATTGTACGGAAGGTGTGGTTGCATTGCACGGAGTGTGTGTGCATTGCACGGAGTGTGTAGTTGCATTGCACGGAGTGTGTGTGTATGCATTGCATGGAGGGTGTAGTTGCATTGCACAGAGTGTTTTTTTGCATTGCACGGAGGGTGTGTGCATTGAACGGAGGGTGTAGTTGCATTGCATGGAGTGTGTAGTTGCATTGCACGGAGTGTGTAGTTGCATTGCATGGAGTGTAGTTGCATTGCATGGAGTGTAGTTGCATTGAACGGAGTGTGTAGTTGCATTGCACGGAGGGTTTGTGTGTGCATTGCACGGAGTGTGTAGTTGCATTGCACGGAGGGTTTGTGTGTGCATTGCACGGAGTGTGTAGTTGCATTGCACGGAGTGTGTAGTTGCATTGCATGGAGTGTGTGTGCACTGCATGGAGTGTGTTTTTGCATTGCACAGAGTGTGTGTCTGAAAAGGAAGCTGGCTCGGCGGCAGCTTTGTCGGGACTTCTTTAAGGGTTCTGGCCAGCCTCGGCCCTGTAAATTTACATATCATGATGGCAGCACAAGATGCCCCCTGCCCAAGCGGGGGCTGGAAGCTGGCAAGCAATAGCTCAATACCTTTTGCCCATATTCCCATTTTATTTAGGGATCCAGTTGGATATCGTTGCTAAAACATACCACTTGCCTATGGAGAAGCTGTCTGCCTTGAAGGAAGTTATTTTGTAATACTTCCTCTGTAGCAAGTGATGCTTCATCAGATCCGATCTTGCTGGGTCTCTTAATTAATCTTCCCACTAGGCCAGGCTGCCTGCGGCCTGAGGTCCCCTTACCTTTGTGTACGCCTACCAAGTGTGGTGAAGGCAGATATCAGGCGATGGTAGCAATTCCTGAATGTATGCAATAGTAGAATCATAGAATCATAGAATCACAGAGTTGGAAGAGACCACAAGGGCCATCGAGTCCAACCCCTGCCAAGCAGGAAACACCATCAGAGCACTCCTGACATATGGTTGTCAAGCCTCTGCTTAAAGACCTCCAAAGAAGGAGACTCCACCACACTCCTTGGCAGCAAATTCCACTGTCGAACAGCTCTTACTGTCAGGAAGTTCTTCCTAATGTTTAGGTGGAATCTTCTTTCTTGTAGTTTGGATCCATTGCTCCGTGTCCGCTTCTCTGGAGTTCGCCATGGCAGGATACCTTGAACCCGCACAGGGATTTTCAGGTTCATGCTGGTGCTGCTGGATCTTTGCCCTTTGGTTTTTATTTCAAGGGATGCTGGTGTGCAAAGCTATGGCCTCAAGCCCGGTGTGGTGAGGCAATCATGTGACATAACTTTTCTTGAGTTTTCCCCATTGTAGTAGCAGTTCACATGTGGCCCGAGGAGTTCAGTGACCATTGGATCTGCTTTTGGTCTGATAACCAGGTAGTGGTGAGCGTCTTAGCAAAACAGTCCTCACGCTCTAGCACAGTCTCCGCCCCTCCGTTCATGCTTTCGAGCTGCGCCGCTTAAGGTTTAATATTGTGCTTTCTACTCTCCAAATTACAGGATCCTCTAATGATGTCGCTGACACTCTATCCCATTTTCAGATGAAGTGCTTCAGATCCTGGGCTCCAGACTCAGCTATTGCCAGACTTTTCCAGACCACCTGTGGCATTTTGACAACAATTAGTAATTACAGAGAGCAGCAGCTTCCATTTCCCCTTCTGCTTTTAGCTCTTATGAGAAGGCCTGGATGGATTTCTTAGCCTTAAGCTGGCAGTCCTCGGCCATTCAGATGAACTGGCCCCCATCCTCTGAGCAGATCCGCAGTATTTGGTCCACCTGCTGCAGATTGGGCGTGCGTTATAACTATCAGAATTCAGTCCGCTGCAATGTCTGTTACACTGAAGCTTTATTTTTCAGAGACCCTTGTATAAAGTTTGTAGTGCGCATGGCCTTGGAAGGTTGGAATAGGCTCCAACCTCATAGGACAGTGGGCAGGAAGCCGGTCAATTTTTACTTATGCAGTATCTGCAACAAGTTAAAACTTGTCTGCTGGTTAAAGATCAAGGCGAGACTCCTTTCAGTAGTCCATTGCATTTTCGCACTGAGGCTTGGGAAAATGGTTGTTGGAGCCAGCATGGGGCTGAGAGTCTGGAGGCTTATTGCTTCAGGACTTTTCCTTATCCTTTGGAGCTTGTCATTAGAGTTGGGAACTCTAAAACAGACTTAGTGGGCAGGAGTGCCACAATCAGGCTTCCCGCCACAGGTGAGGAGGGCCCTTGCCCGGTTATGGATAACAGAATATTTGGCTTTTCATTCCCTGGGGGCTGGCCCGCTCCTAGTGCATGAAAATGGGTTCCCGTTAGCCAGGCATCAATGTGCTTACGTCGTGCACCAGTTATTACGGCCTGCGGCTTGCTTACCGCTGAACACGCCTCATTCCTTACGATTGGGTGCTGCTGCAAAGGCTGCACACTGGGGGCCTGTCAGTAGACAGGATTGTGAATACGGGTCATTGGAAGTCTGACGCTGACAAGGGTTATATCAGGAAGTGTCACAATGATGTCTGTGCTGATGCTTGTCTGTTATTTCCTTTTTCATAGGAGCAGCTGTGCACATTTGGGCCACAGCATTGTACACTAGGCTGGCAAGCAGGTTGACGAGTTTGGACTGGGGCGCCATCTCAGTCTTCCTGCCCATGTGAACATATACTGGATGTCCAGATGGGAATGCTTTGGGAGGAGATCCTTCCTTTGGTGCGGTCGAGTGTGACCTGTGCAGGTCCTCCCGCAGTGCTGGTGGTACAGCTGGGCGAGAATGTTTGCTGTCTTCCTCCAGCATAAGTTTGCATTCCTGCATGCAAGAGGGCTTGGATTGAGTTGATGGCAGCTCTCCCAGGACTCAAAATAATTTAAGGCATTGGTTCAAGGTGGTCTGGAGGGGAAGTTGGAGCACCTGTCCCCTCCAATGCGCAAAGATATTTCATTAAGGGAATCCAAGGATTCACCATGCTTTTGTCGACCCCTTTTGAGGGGTAGGGGCACGCAAGAGTCCCTGGGAGCATTTGGGGGTGAGCTTGAGTCTGATCCTGGTTCATTGCTCCCCCACGCTGTTTACTGGTACTGACGATATGGTGGGGCCCAGTCGTCAGTGCTGCCCTGCTGAGGTCAGGTGCAGCCAGTCAGGAACCAATGCCTAGACAAACTACCACCGAGCAGGCCAGAAAGCATGTTAATAAGGCGGTGGACAATAGAATAAAATAAATAAAGTAAATAAAATAAAATAACAAATAAAATAAAATAGGTCCTTGCTTTAGGTGGTTCTGTAATATTGCACCCTGCTATTTTTCTTCAAGGCTGTTGCTCTCTTTAGGGCAGATGGGGTGCATCTTTCCCCTATGGGGAACGACACCTGGCGGGATGCGATTGCCTTGGGATTCATTGCTCACACACAATGTTTGCTGGTACTGACGATATGGTGGGGCCCAGTCGTCAGTGCTGCCCTGCTGAGGTCAGGTGCAGCTAGTCGGGAACCAATGCCTAGACAAACTACCACCGAGAAGGCCGGAAAGCGTGTTAATAAGGCAGTGGAAATAAAATACAGGTCATTGGAAATCGAATGCATTCAAAGGTTATGTTCGTTAACATTATTGGTGTCTTACAATTTTTGCTTGTTTTATCTTAGGTTTAGCAGCTGTCCGCATCTGGATGGTGGGGCACAGCATCAGTGCACGGCAGTCCGGTTTGGGACCGGGTCTCGGCCTTCCTCCACATGTGCAGTTGCTTTGGCTGTCCAGACGGGGAATGCGCCAGCCAGAATTCCTGCCGCTGATTCGGAGGCAGGTGCTGCTGGAAGGGCCGCCCACTGCTGTTGGGGTGCAGCTGGGTGAGAACGACCTGGTTTCCATGGACTGTTTTTTCACTACGTGCTGCAATTTTGGGTGACCTGGAGAAGCTGCGGGCAGTGGTGCCGACAGCAAAAATATTTTGGTCAAAGCTTTTGCAACGACGTGTTTGGAAGGGTAGTCGTTGCCCAGCTGCCACTGAAAGGGCCAGGAAGCGCATCAATTCTGCTGTGTCTAAAAAGATTTTTGAGCTGGGTGGAGATGTGATTTCCCATCCTGAGATTCTTTTTCAGGCTGCATCCTTTTTCAGAGCTGATGGCGCGCATCTTTCTGCCTCAGGGAATGAGGCTTGGCTGGGTGCAGTGGTGGCCAAGCTGAGGGCTTGGTTGGGTCTGTGAGTGGTTTGGCGGTGAGCTGTGGGCTCCATGGCGGTTAGGCATTGGTTAAATTGGTGCTTGGAGGGGTAAGTGCCTATCCCTCCAAATGATGCGGAAAGGGAATTCCGTTAAAGGAATCCAGGGGCTTGCCATTCTTTTCGTCCTTGTCCCTGGAATCGGACTTGGGCCGTGCAAGCCCCACAGGAACATGAGGGTGAGAAGTGAGGGACTGATACCCAGCTTCATTTTCTCACCCAATACTTGTTTCCCACGCTGGCTTCCGTTGGTGTCCGGAAGGCCAGCTCTGTCCCTGAGGGCAAGGACAGATAGTCATAACCAATGCCTAAGCAACCACTCACATTTTTTGTATTTTGAATAAAGTTGTGGCCAAAATTATGCCAAAAACCTTAAACAAAAATTGATGTGTGAAGTGTGAATTTTTTGGGGGGTGGCATTGTGGGACTCAACACGCAAAGCGTGTTCTCCCTAACAGAGAGCACGTGTTGCGGTTGGGGGAACAAGCCACCCTGCCGTTACTGGGCAGATTTTGTGAGGAACCCAAGCCTTTAAGTGGTTAAAATTGGGTTGCTGGGGAGTTTTGATTGTTGCCAATTTGGAGGAGGGGTCAGAGTCTTTAAATACAGGGGCCAGACGTTGGACGTCCTCTTGGCCATTTTGCACCGGATCACCCGCCCTCCCTCCCTTTAATAGGGTGGTTTTTTCTTGATCGCTTGACCTTGCTATGCCTGTCATGGGGTCGTCCGCCTTGGAGCGGGGGCCTGGTAGGAATTTTGCCATCTGGCTGATTGGCTGGTGCCATTTGGTTTTTGCCTACTGCGTAGCAAATCGTCACAACTTGTAAGGTTGGCGGTTAGGCATTGGTTAAATTGGTGCTTGGAGGGGTAAGTGCCTATCCCTCCAAATGATGCGGAAAGGGAATTCCGTTAAAGGAATCCAGGGGCTTGCCATTCTTTTCGTCCTTGTCCCTGGAATCGGACTTGGGCCGTGCAAGCCCCACAGGAACATGAGGGTGAGAAGTGAGGGACTGATACCCAGCTTCATTTTCTCACCCAATACTTGTTTCCCACGCTGGCTTCCGTTGGTGTCCGGAAGGCCAGCTCTGTCCCTGAGGGCAAGGACAGATAGTCATAACCAATGCCTAAGCAACCACTCACATTTTTTGTATTTTGAATAAAGTTGTGGCCAAAATTATGCCAAAAACCTTAAACAAAAATTGATGTGTGAAGTGTGAATTTTTTGGGGGGTGGCATTGTGGGACTCAACACGCAATTATCCTAATGAACATAAGGGCCTGTGGCTGAATGGTATAAAAGAAGTTGACGATACAAACCCTTTGAATTTTGGACCTCTTGTATGTGAAAGTGGTGCTATTCCACTGAGCTATGATTCCACATTACTTCCCTTGGAGCTGGGCTATATGTCTGAAGTCCTTCCACATAGGAACAGGGAGGGAGAGAAGTGAGTGTGTGGGATAGGGAGACTATAATGTGTGTGTGGGAGACTATAATATAATACAGAGATTCTGCCTCTGGATTCTCAATGCAGGCCTCAGATCTGTAGCAGTTTGTGCAGGTAGGAAGGTGTTTTGGTCTCCTTTCTGGCAGCATGGTTGTGCATTGTGTCAGTGTGTATTTTTTGTTAGATGATAGCAGGAGGTTCCTCGGCTGTTGTTGTGCATTGAGGCCAGTGCTTTCTGTGTGTGGCAATTACATGTATTGTTGGTGTGCAATGCTGTGATTAATTGGTGGTACCAGGTTTGCCAGATGCTACATTAGCTTTGGTTTCAATAGCTTTTGTTGTACCGTTAACTTTGCTACTGATTGGGCAGAAGATCATAACTAGGATTGTGATGCTGCTGTGATATGATAGGGAAACTAACGTGACGTTTAGCCTTCTCCTTAGCTCCAAAATGTGAAATTGCAAAATTTAACCTTGAAAAATCATTCCAATTATGGTCAAATTGATTTAATTTCAGTTGAAAAGAGATGTGAAAATGGTATGTTTGCAAATTCAGGGAATTTTGATGTTGTTTAGTCCATAAACATGCAGTTTACTGAGAGATCCTGCTCAGTTCAGTGGTGCAGATTCCACAAAGTCCTGTTGCAAGTGGAGCACCTCAATATCAGCGAAGAAAATCCTTGTGTTGTTTTCCTCAGTGCTCCAAAACAAACCCCTCACATAAAAGGTGCAACCCTTAACCTATTGAATAGCTGATTGTGTAACTTTTTATTATTAAAAAAAACACCACCACCACAGGAAAATACTCAAATCAAACTTATATTAACATATTTGTGTGTGTGGGTGTGTGTATTCTTTTTATGTCTGGCAAACTTCCAGCTGCCAACAAATTCTCATAAATTCTAAAGATCCCCCTTCAAGTTTATGCAGATTTTTAATCCACAAAGTGTGTGTCAAATTGAGGAATTTTTGTCACCACGGGCGCTTACTAATGTTAGATACACTTGTTGCTGCTTCATATTGTTTGCAATCATCTTCACTAGTGTCAAAATATTTTTCACCACTTCTGCCAAGACGTTTCGCACCTTTCCCTTTTAGAAAGAGAAATCTATTGTAGCCTTAAAATAACCAGGAATCTGCTTTCTCTCTCCCCCCCATTTTCCATACTCTCGAATATCCCTGAGGCATCTGGCGCTGAAGTGTTCTGGCACCGTCCAATTATTTTACAAAAAGCCATCATAGAAATAATCTCCTCCCCAACCTCTCCCCTCGGTGCTGCCCCAAGCAGATCAATGCATTTCAAAGCAGAATGGCTTGAGAGCAGTGAGGGAAGGAGGAGCATGAATGGTAACAGGCGCAGCACCAGTCAGCCTCCTCCTTCATGCTCTGTCTCCGAGACTTTTTGCTGGCATCTGCCTCTCACAAGCCCCCTTTGTGTTCATGTGATAAATCTAATCTCCCCTCTAGCAGCTCCCATAGTGTCTCATTGATTGATTCAATAACAAATGGAAGGTTTATTTACAAAGCTTTATGCCTCTGAGACTATTCTCTCTATAAAAATTATAGTACACCTAGCATATTTATGAGTTTGCATCCAAATAATTGCAGGTCTCCGCAAGAGGCCTTTGCAAGGTTTTGGTAAAGATGCATGACTCTGCTGATATATGAGTGATCTAATGTTGGGTGAGCAAATGTCTTACATGCATACAACTTTACTGTGCTCAAGGATCTTCCTGTTCCCAGATTACAAGGCTGTTGCTGTTGGGATTTCCTTATGCTAACACGACTGCAAGGTCTCCAGTTTAATTGATATTAATGCATCGTCACTACCACACCCGTGTCTGGCTTGCACGTCTATTCCTTTTCAGAGTAATGAGGCTACATGAAATGAAAAGTCCTTCCCACAGGTGTGCCTCTGTTTTCCTGTTCTTAGCCCTCACACAGCAAATTGGCATTGCTAAGACTGAATGCAATTCTCTCCTCAACCCAGTGCCTCTGCTGCTGCTAAAATGCTATCTGTACATGGCTGCAGGCATGTATTGGATAGTGCCCATGCTATCACTGACGAGAGACACAACGTGCACTTGCCATGCCTGTACATCTCTGGTATATAAAAGGAGTTTTAAGATTTGATTTTAAACTGGTTTAGTTCTTCATATAGTTCTTTGAAAGAAAGCTGCTATTGCAAGCTAGGCTACCACTCCCCCCTCCCGCAGCAACGCCCCACCATTTCCATAGGTTTTTTGTTTTTTACTTCTGTTTCTCCCCACCTATACCCCCAATAGCAAGGCTATCTCCTTCCCCTCCATCACTTTGAACAGTTTTAACACAATTGCTGTAAGATCAAAGCTACAGCTATGGTAGTGTTTTGGGAAAAGGGATTGCCTGTACAAGCCCTGCTTAGGGGGCGGGAGGGTATTACACAATCGTAAAGGGCCATTCTAGTTCCTGCAAAATTTACAAAATCTGAATGACAAATGTGTAATAACTTCTCCAATTTAATTCTTTCGTGTATTGGCTGGATATGTCATAACAATTGGCAGCCTGCCCACAGGAAGTTGTTTTACGTTCCCAAGGGCTTAGCATGAGGAATGGAGTGCTACTTCTGTGGGGCTGGGTGAGTCCAATTGCGTTCATGCGGAGGCAGCATTTGGAAGCAGATTTCACCAAGTAGTTGGAAAGAATGCCCCATGAACTATTAGCATATGCTTAGATGCAGCTGTATCTGAAGAGTAGGGCTGTAAATCTCCATGTGATCACTCTTATTTTCTCAACACGCACCTTTTCTGGGAAGCCTTTGGATCATTCCCCAATTCCATATTGTAACTAAGCCAAAGTATGTGTAACTGAGGTAATTCCTCCCCTGCCGACCTATCCATGCCTCTGTTTCTTTCCTTCCTCCATTTGTACGCCTCCTGGGGGAGGGATCTGTTAAGCCTGTTGTTGTTTTTTGTCAAGTGCCATGTGCATAGATATCACTACATAAATAAAGAAAATAATCCTCTGCTCAATAGATCTGGTGGAAGCTCAATACAGTGGTACCTCTGGTTATGTACTTAATTTGTTCCGGAGGTCCGTTCTTAACCTGAAACTGTTCTTAACCTGAAGCACCACTTTAGCTAATAGGGCCTCCGCTGCCGCTGCACTGCCACTGCGCGATTTCTGTTCTCATCCTGAAGCAAAGTTCTTAACCCGAGGTACTATTTCTGTGTTAGCGGAGTCTGTAACCTGAAGCATATGTAACCCAAGGTACCACTGTAGCACACAATCGAGGAACTCCATCAAGAGCTCTGACTGGCAGCAAAATCTAGTCTAGACAGAGTCATAAAATAATTGAATGGTTCTGTTACTTCATATTCTGGGCTTTGATAGCAGAGACCTCTAATAAGTGGTGGAATGCCAGCATGAGCTCAGTCGTACAGTTTTGCTGCAACCATAATCCATGCCTGAGAATCAGCAATACAGGTGAACTTTTCTTTATACCATTTAGCATTTTGTCTGAACCTTCATAAAACTGAAGTTGCTTTCTTCAGACACTTTCCATCCCTTCATTTTCTGTGTTGAAGTGTGCCTCCACACCACTGATGCCTAAATAAGGTTACAGCCATGGGTTTTATCTGAGCAAATATTGACTCTTCTTCTATAAAGATTAATGATGGAGAAAGAGTGATCATCATTCTGTTATCACAGTTGCCAAAATCATTGTGAAGCAGTACACTGGAAAAGTAAATCATTCAGTGATTAAATGATGGCAATGATCTTCTCTTGTAAATCACTGTTATGAAGCAAGATGTATATTGCATATTTTCCTGTGCTATAAATGGTGAAAGGTATTCTCTTGACCTATGCCCTCAACAGTGTTAGGTCAAAATATGAGAAAAATAACTTTATTCAAAAAATTCAGCACCTTACAGTCTGATCTGGAGCTCTGCTGGGTCAGATCAAAGGCCTATCTAGTCCAGTATTCTATTCTTGCAGTGACCAACCAGAAACCGCCAAGCAGGACCCGAATGTAACCACGCTCTCCTTTTATGATAGCCAGCTACTGCTATTCAGAGACATGCTGCCTCTGACAGGCGATGGTCACTAATCATGGATAGCCTTATCCTCTACAAATTTGTCTAATTTCCTTTTAAAACCAAGTTGGTGGCAATTATATCTTATGGGGAAAAAATTCAAGCTGTATGAAGTACTGAATCAGCCAACATTCAGCTTTATTGGTAGCCTTTTCCTAGTATTATGAGAGGGGTCCCTATGTACTTTTTCCACAACATGTAGAATCTTGTACACCTGTATCATCTTACTTTTCCCTCTAAACTAAATGCCACAACCTTTCCTTATAATTGAATTGTTCCTATCTCATGATCATTTAGCTTGCCCTTTTCTGAACCTTTTCTGACTCTACAATATTTTTTGAGGTGAGGAGACCAGAACTGCATACAGTATTCCAAGTGGAGCTGTACCATAGATAACGGTGTTATGATATAGGTACAGTTATACCTCGGGATAAATACGCTTCAGGTTGAGCGTTTTCGGGTTGTGCTCCGTGGCGACCCAGAAGTAACGGAGCGTGTTACTTCCCGGTTTCGCCGCTCGCGCATGCGCAAACGGTCAAAATGACATCACGTGCATGTGCGGAAGCGGCAAAACACGACCCCCCCCGCGCGCAGACGCGCTGTCTCATCTTACGTTCTGTTCAGGATGTGAACGGGGCTCTGGAACAGATCCCGTTCGCATCCCGAGGTACCACTGTAGTTTTATGGGGATGCGGGTGGTGCTGTGGTCTAAACCACTGAGGTTGGAATCCACACAACAGGGTGATCTCCCATTGCTCTGTCCCAGCTTCTGCCAACCTGGCAGTTCGAAAGCACACCAGTGCGAGTAGATAAATAGGTACTGCTGTGGCAGGAAGGTAAACGGTGTTTTGTGTGCTCTAGCACTTTTCACAGTGTCCCATTGTGCCAGAAGTGACTGAGTCATGCTGGCCACACGACCTGGAAAGTTGTCTGTGGACAAGCGCCAGATCCCTCGGCCTGAGAAGCGAGGTGAGCACTACACACCAGTCACCTTTGACTGGACTTAACCATCCGGGGTCTTTTATCTTTACCTTACTATAGGCAGTTTTATTTTCAATCCCTTTCCTAATGATCCCTAGCACGACGTTATACTTTTTCAAAGCTGCCACACACTGGGTTGGCATCTTCATTTAGCTATCCTCTATGACCCCACAGTCTTTTTCCTGGTCAGCCTTCACATCCAAGTAGTGTATGTTAAATTTTTTATTTTATTTTTTGCCCCAGTGTGCACGCTTTACACTTGCTTACATTGAGTTGCATTTACCACTTTACTAAGAGAACTTTATGGGGTTCTTCACCAGCAAGCTTGGCTACATCACTAGTCATCTCTAGCTCTGGATTATGAATAAGCAAGCTAAAAAGCATGGATCCCAATACTATTCATTTGGGAAGTCCATCTAAAATATGTGCTACTAAGATTATTCTTGGACCTTTGCATCTTTCAACCTATCTAGTCAAGATCCTATAATACGCTCTCATATGGTCAGTGTTGGCCATTCAAATTGTATTCTCTCCTTGGTGTTCAGGGGCCTTTCTCCATAGATTGGAAGAGCAGTGAAGGAACTGGGGGCCCACCGCAATAATGCTGGGAGAATGCCAAGGTGACATTGTAGATCAATCCCATCAATATTGCATTGATTTCCCTACACACTGCAGAGAAGAGTATCATTGCACATAACACTTTGATGTTGTGTGGTGGTGTCTGCATGGCTGTGGATTGTGATCACTGTTTTCTCTGTGGAGATATGCCCTGAAGTTAGCTCCATGTGTCTGGAGTTGCCACTTGGATTTTTGGCAAACATCCTTTCATGGGAGCAAATGCTACCAGTATTCTATAGTATTCCATCCTCTCCCTTCCAGCCTTGCCTGTCTCGTACACGGCAACTAAGGCCTTGCCCATTGCACTTGAGTAGCTTGTACCCAGCTAGTTATACTTCCACACCTCCGTCATGTGCAATGCTGGCACTGACTAGGTAGCACCAATTCCAGAGATAATTATCCTATCCCACTGGTGCACCCCTGGATTTAATAGTTTACATTATTTGTATCTCATACCTTCAAGAGAACACTCTTCCTGCAGCAACTTACAATTAAAATGAAAATACAAAGTAAATAAATAAAAAACAGTAGAACAAACAGGTAAAGGACACAGCCCATGCAACTGAGGGAAGCACAATAGAATAACATTGGTGTTGCAAATAATGGATAGGGAATTTCAAATTTATTCTGCACCATTTTTGAAGCACAACATTAAATAAACCCATTAATCTAATTTTAATTATGACTGCTGTTGCAAACATTTCACCATGAATTGTCACATCTTTCTCAGAGGCAGGGTGGTCCTACCATTAGGCAGAATGAGGCAGCAATTATGCATGTCATGAAATGTCAGCAAATTGTTAATTTGTTATTACTGCATTTTCACTGGTGGTGGGGGCAGTAACATCAGGAAACATCTCCACTTACATACCTCTGGTATTTTTCCCCCGTAGGTTCCAAAATAATGCGGCTGGGTGCTGTCACTTAATCTTCACAGAACTACAATTCCCAGCACCCTTGACACACTTTAGTTCCCAGGATTCTTTGTGGGAGGGAAATTTACTTTCAATGCATGGTATGTATGCAGCTGGTGGAGGGGACAGGGTGCCATGTGCTATTTTGCCTCTAGCAGCAAAGGGAACAACACATATTTCCCATTGATCAGTTTAATTTCAATAATCTAATAGCGATTTAGCAAAAGAAATCTGCAAGTGAAGGTGTTTTGCATTGGTTTCTCTGTTCATACATGGTTGATACATATCAACTCCACTTCCTTGAATCCAGAACTAAGATGTGTATATACAGGACTCTGGTATCCCATGCACTTATTATTATATTGTAGTTCCAATAATGCTGGGTGGTAGAGGGACTTTTAAAAGGATTTCTCTTCCATCTCTCCCTGGGAAACAAGCTGACAACACCAACCATCTAGTTGAAGGAGAACTTTGCATGCTACTCTCTGGCACGCAGGAAGACCTGTTGCTTATAAATGTACATTTAATATATTTGAACATTCTGTCATGTTAAATATTATCTGCACATGAGAAGTTAGTGTGCTAGGAGAAGGCTAGGCTGAAACACTCTCCATGGAATGCAGTATTTCCACCTAATATTCTATTTTTGATCTTCAGGAGACAGTGTTAGTGCTTATGTAGCCAAAACAACACTATCCCAACACAAGGGGTATTGACAGACTCTGAGGGATGACAAGGTTTGCAGAAGTACAAAAAACATAAGCAGGAAAACCCTAAGGTAGAACCCTTCCCCCCACCCCCGACTGAGCATGCATGCTCAGTGAGCATGAAATGTAGAGTAACTGTGGGGGGTGGGGGTGGGAATGGAATAGCATGTCAAGAAAATGAAAGAGGAAGAAACACAAATATAAAATGGGAAGAAAGAACTCTCTCATTGTTTGGATAGGTTACTGTGGTTCGCAGACAGAAGTTTTTTTTTTTTTAATGGCCACAAGAAAGGAAGTGAAAGCCATGCATAGAAATCAAGGGGGGGAAATCCAAGAATTTAATGTGCAAGAAAATTTACAAATAAATTGATATCTGCCTAGGAACCATATACTCTCAGTGGGAGATTAGTGGCCAAGTAGGTGTTACTTGTATTAGACATGGCATTGGACTCCAGAGTTAATTGGGAGTTTGTGGGTGGCAAATGCCTACAGCTTACACCAATGTTGTCTCACAACACAGGGGGCTTTCCCTGTTGCTCTCCTTGCAAGTTAAATCACACATACAGTCTTGGGGCATGCAGTTTCAGTTTCAGAACAGAACAGAACAGAAGAGTGCTCAAGAACGCACACATCCTGGCCACCTGGCACACTGCTGACTCTATGGGTGTAGTCTGGGGGGGCAGCTGCCACCCCAAATCAAGAAAATTCATTAAAAATACAAAGCTAACTGAGGTTATGCCCCCCCAACAAAAATCCTGGCTATGCCCATGGCTGACTCCACCTCCTCTTCCTGCCAGGTTAATATGCCGCCCCCCCCATAAAGGAGGGGAGCTGCCAGAGGGCACTTTGCCCAAAGTCCTCATACACTTGTTGCTAACCTTTCTCGAGCTCAGCTCAGATGGGAAGGTTCAACTCCCCTTTCCATTTTGGTTACAGTTTATCGGCTAGCCTTGTTTAAGTCACTTCTCTCGTTGCAGTCGCTGTCCTAAACGCTTGGGTGGATGGCTAGATTAATAATAATTAAAAAGGTATTAATTCGGAGCGACTGGAGTTTCAAGTATGGAGTTTTAGTTAACTGCCCACTTGGATTTTTCTCTCTTCAGTCGCGGGCACATTTCGCAGGCGATGCGCTCGCCCACTCCTTCCCTTAAAAAGAGCCGAGGATGCCACCCCAGGTTTTCCAAGGACCACGGCCACGGGCATAAACCGCGCGCGCGCTGTGTGTGCATGTCCCAAAATGTTCCTTCTTCACTTCCACACACTCCTTTAAAAATCCCAGGGGCTGAGGCGGGGACTATGGACCGCCTCCTTTCTCCCTTCCTCCTCCTCCTGACGGCGCTTTCGGCCAGCAGAGGGGAAAGGGAAGAAGGAAAACACACACACATACACATACAACCCGGCCAGGCTCGCGCCCGAGAGGCTGCTGTGTCGCGCGCATGGCGGCGGCGCGTGGGCAGGGCTTCACCGGAGGAGCCTCGCGACGTCCGCCCCGTGGAAGGAACGGAAACGTCTCTCTACACAAGGTCCTTCTGCCGCGCACGCGCAAAAGCCCGGGTAAGGCCTCGGGGGCGCGCGCGCTGAGCCGCGGCAGCGGGGCGAGAACTGGGAGGAGGGGGGAGGGAGGGAAAGGCAGGGAAAAGCTGCTGAGGTAAAGTTAGAGGTGGGGGCGGGGGAAACAAGGGAGCGAGGGAAGGAGGGGGGGCGGCGGCGGCGGAGCGTAAGCGCGAGGGAGCGGGCGGGCGGGCGAGCGGCTCCGTCGGCGAAGCCAGTGCCGGGGAGGCTCGGCCGCCGCCATTACTAAGCCCAGATCACCGGGGAGGGAGGGAGGGAGGAGGAGGAGGAGGAAAGAGGAGGAGGAGGAGAGATGGGGCCAGGCCGCCGGGAGTTCTTCTGAGGGAGCTGCGGGTCCGGGAAAGGGACGACGAGCCGCCGGCGCTGAGCGAGAGTCCCGGGAATGGTGCCGCGGGAGAGCCGGAGACTGAGGTGAGGAGGAAGAAACCGCTCCTCCTTCCCAACTCCCACCCCCCCTCCCTACACCCAACTACACCCAGCCCCATCAGCTGCCGCACCGCCGCCGTCGCCGCCAGCAGCAGCAGCGCTGGGGCTCGGGAGTCGGGGCGGTTGCTGCTGCTGCTGCTGCTGCAGCCGCCGGAGAGGTGGAGGCTGCCGCCAGTTCCGAGGAGGGATGGGGCCGCCGCCAGCAGCAGCAGCAGGAACTGCTGAGTGAGTGAGTGAGTGAGAGAACTGGGAAGACCGGAGCTGCCTTTTCTTTTCTCCTTCCTCGCTTCCTTCCTTCCTGCCTCGTCCGAGTCTGCTCCATACCTACACACCCCGCGGAGGAGGAGGGGGAGGGGAATGGTCGGACGCCTCCCCTGCTTGCTTTCTTGCTTTGGTCCCAGACAGGTGATGAAGGCCTGAGCCGGCGGGGAGGGTCGGAGCCTGCTCTACCAGGCTCTGGTGGCGGCGGCGGCGGCTGCCAGCTGGTCACGGCCCCCCCAGCGAGGGAGGAGGAGGAGGAGATGAGACGGCAAGGAAAGGGGCAACCTACCTCCTCCTTTCTTTCTCTGCCTGACCCCCCTTCCATTCTTTCTGCTTTTAAAAAAAATAATAACCGTAGGTCTTCCGTTCTTGCCTTTCTCTCCAGCACCCCACCCCCCGTTTCTCTTCTTTCTGGTCGTCTCTCTTTCTCCCTCTCCCCCCCCCCCATCACGCCATAGCAAACTTTCCTCTCAGGCGCGAGTGGCCTGCTCCTCTTCCCCCTCCAACCCTTCCGAACTCCATAGGGTGGATAGGAGGACTTTTGGAAACGGCGGTAGGAGGCGGGGGCTGTGTGTGTTGCTGGTTGCAGTTCTTTCGTGTTCTTTCTTGCCTCTAAAAAACAAAAAAAAAACCACCCCCCACCCCCCACCCCGGATTTCCTCTTGTCAAGGAAAAGCTCTAGATGGGAGTCTGGGAGTGACAGTTCGACGTGGGAAAGATGCACAATAACTTCAGTGGGAGGGTGAAGAGAAGGGGAAAGTGTGGAAACCTTCCCATATGTCCTTTTGTGCATGAGGTTTTTCAGCAACTCCAGTGCCGCAGATTTGCCCGAAAAGTAGGTGGGAAATGTTTTAAATCCAGACTAAAATAGGCCAGTGGGTGGGTGTGCATGTTAAGTTTAGGCTTTTGGAGATAATTAGTGTATTTTCCCTCTTGCTTAGATACTGCAATTGGCAGAGATTTCTTAAGTCTACACTGCACAATAAAAAAGGCAGTACAATTGATCCAAACATTTGTGGATCAATTGCACATTCATTTTAGCTGCCGGTTTAGACAGTTTTCATTGAAAGGAATTATGGAATTCATATTTGTGATCACCACTTAAAAATGAATGGAGAGCTCATAATAGAATCTTTCTGGCATGGACAACTATGTATTTTTTTACAATCGAGTATATGTATTTATTTTCTTTTATGTAGTATATATTTGTTTCAGAATATTAACGATTTCAGTCCACAAGTTTTTAATTGGTAAAGTTAGTTGTGAGTACTGTATAAAGACAATTGCCTGTGAAAGTTAGTGCCATGATACATCAGTTATAGTGCAAGCCTAAGCATGGTTTGTACAAAATCCCATTGAGTTAAAAAAATCTTAAGAATGCTTGGGATTGCCCCCTTGCAATGCAATCCTGTAATGTTTACTCAGAAGTCACACTAAATTCAATGGAACTTACTTTCAGGCAAGTATGTGTAGGTTTGTAGCCTTCAACTCTTAAAATACTACTCTGTCATAGGCCCCAAATTTGGAGTAAACACTAGTTAATTCTAAGCTTCACTAGTTAATTCTAACTTAATGTTAAAAACCATTAGCTGTTTGGCATGTAATGAGCTAAGTAAATGGTTATTATGAGTGATAATTAATCGTGTTCATTCACCAGCAGAGTGGACTTCCGCTTGTGCAAGAGGACCTATTCCTCCCCTTCCTCCTGCAGCCCTCTGCTCACTATCAAAATCCACTTCCAGAATTGAGGAGCAGATTGAAGAAAGTGGGGCTGTTGGGGAGAGGAAGAGGTCTCGCTGCATTGGTGATCTACCTGGGCAACATTAGATTTCACATTTTTAGAGGAAATAGTTGTTTTTACATATACATACATATATAAGTATGATTTAAAGCTTAATCCAGGTATTCAGCCTTCATTTGTGGATTGGTTTGCAAATGCTATTTACAACTTGCAAGACCATTTTAGCATTTTTCTTTGTACAAGATTTTCCTTCTGTGAGTTCTAGTAGAGTAGTGCAAATACAACCATTCAGCATCTTAAATATGTTTCAAGAATTTATTCAATCTCCAGGTTGTAAAATTTTATTGAATTCTTTTGTTTCTTTTCTGTTTATAACTCATCACATCTTTTTCCCCACTGACCCTATTTTAATCAGTAATAATATACTCTGTAGTCCATAAACCACTAACTTCAGAATAGTTTAGCGAAAGACCTGTATTGAAGATTCAGTATTGTTATTTCTAGATGAGTTCTTTATTTTTAGTCTGCTAATAGTCTAGTGTGACTTTTTAACAGATCATCTTAAGGAATGTAATAAGATTTCACTTCCTAAGCATGTGCATGTTTTATATATAATGTACATGTACACATACACACAAAGCTTCATCAAAAAGTTCTTAAATAGTTGTTCTGGTGTATTTACTAAGGATTTGTTGCATTGCTTCTCTGATACTATTATAAGAAGTCTGTACACTTTATGGAACACTGGTATAAGTAAAGTTTGTGATGGGTTTGTGAAACACCTTGGAACTTTGCTGTTCATGTTCACTTCTAATATCTGTTTCATTAGAAGATAGGTTTGAAATAGTCAGGCTTACCAAAATTTACTTAATATTATCAAATGAGCTGGCCCATTATTTAAGTTAGCTGGTGTAATATGAGGTGTTTAATATTTATAACTTAGTTGGTTGCCTTAATTACTTTAAACCCTAACTTTATGAAAGGAGAAGGAAATAACTACTTTGATTCTTTGTATATTTGACAACAATGTATATATATCCACAGTAAATCAAATGATACAACAAATTTCTCCAGGGAGTACTTATATTGTTGGAAGGACTTTGACAATGTGTTATGAAATATTTAATAGGACAATGTGCTCAAACATTTACACTGGCAGTATGTAGTCATTGAAACTGATAATATTTATTTTGAAAAGCTACTTTTAATCCAAATAATTCATTTGTTGATTTTTATTTTTTTACTTGATATAAGCAAAACATTTGAAACTATACTAATTATCAGTATCTTTGAACATATGGACTCCTTATTTTAAGAGTTGCTTCAGACTTTTAAAAAGCAAAAAAACTCCCATAATATTTGCACAACACTATTAATCATGTGTGGCTCACACATGATTAAGTGACCTGGTTTCCCTTCATTAGATATGGAAGCAATAGTTGGGAAAGGATTGAGTCTTTTCCACTGTGAATCTGCTGTACAAATATTTTGAAGCTTAGAAACTGAGTAATGAAATCTGTAACCTGTTGAGGTCACAGAAGTCAGTGTGTGAGCTTGAGTATTTTGTCTTTTTGGGACATTCTGCACTGTAGACTTGTCAGGATTTTACTTCCCAGCATGTTGTTAGGCTTTCTCCTTGCTACTTCCAACTTTCATCGATATCTAGTGTGAAGAAGGATATGATTATTCTTGCTAGGCTTAGGTGGAAGGTTGGAAGCAGCAAGAGCAACTCAAACAGAGGGGTTTTTTTAAAGTTGTTTTTAAATCCAAAGCCTGATAAGAAGTGAAAGATGAGACTACCCCCTCCTAAATTCTCTGTGTGCAAAAACACATGGAGTAGGGTAGGCTGGGTTCTCATGCCAGACACAAAATTTCTCCCTTCAAGTTACCTTCATTGCAGGGGAAAGTTATGAAAAGAGTGAGGGGCTGTCTCATCTTGTGCAGTGCATTTAGAAAATGGATGAGCAGCCAGCAAATTACCAGTAGTGGTTAGGCCTGATGGACCTGGGAACAACATTTTGGATCCCAACATTACTGTGTACAAACATATTTAGTCATATATGTGCTCATGAACTGCTCATGAATTGCAGCAGTTACTGCAGTTGATTAACTTTGGCTGTGGTCTGCATCATTAGTTAACTCTGACTCTGTTCTGCATGTACTTGCTGTCAAAAACTGTGTCTGTACACTAGGTGTGTTCAGACATTTGCCTCAACAGGTGAATGCTGTATGTGTAGATAGAGAGCAAGGGCATGCAAACCCTGCTCCCAGTGTTCCAGCAGCCCTTGGTGCTCTGTTTCTATCTTCCTCCATGTTAAATGGGCAAGATATGTGAGGATTTCTTTTTAGGCTTGCTTAAATGCCTTGCATGAATAAGGATCCTGCTTTACCAGGCTCCCTCATAGTGTGAGATATTCTTCTTGCATTTAAACAAATGTGAATAAAAGCCTACAGACCTCCACACAGGGAAGAAAATACGAAGAGCCCTACTTGATCAGGTCAAAGGCCCATGAATGCATTTGTTAATGATAGACATTTTATTATGCTTGATGGCAATTATGTTCAATGTGTACATACTGCTTAGGCCAGGGGTTAGGAACCTGTCACCTTTCAGATGTGCAGGACTCCGATCAGCCCTAGCCAACATGACCAAAGGTTAGGACTGATCAAAGCAATGTCTGGAGGGTGACAGGTTCCCCTTATAGGCCCTTCACACCTATAAGCCTTGGGCTCCTCATATCAGAAATATGCTACAATCTTGGTGGGAGTCTGCATCCTGCAGCAGCTTTCTTCTCCCTGCTTCTTATTCCCCTACCAACTCTCTGTGATAGGAGGACACCAAATAGAAACAGAAGGGTGGCAAGAAAAGTCACCTGCTCTACAGCTCTTGACCCAGACACAGTATGCTGTGTAGTGGGCCTGTTTGGCTCTGTCACCCTGTCATCTTCTTAACCAGCACAAGTTCTAGGGGTGGGATGGGATGGGGGCTTGCACAGTGGAAGGCAGCCACAGCTGATTACTAAGGAAATGGAATATGTTACAGTCAAATCTTACATCAGGTATAGCCAGCATTTCCTTAAATCACACATAAAGTGATTTATGTGTGTGACTAACTCCCCACCTTTCCCTGTTCTGGCTGTGAGGCATCACCACGTGTTGGCAAAGATGTGGAAGTGCCAATGGGTGGCCTGGGTTCCCACTGGGTCATAGCATTCGTTAGTCTCTCTGCTGCCTCCCCCCACTCCTCCATGTATGAGCCTAGAGAGCTCCTCTCTGGCTGGGGGAAAGAGCTTTCCTCAAGGAAAGAATTCAGGAAATGATAAAAAACAACAAGGAAGAAGAGGCAGTGGGGCAGGGGGAGGGCGATGAAGGCTGCCAGGTCCTAGAGATGAGAAGAAAAAGGTTGGAATGGACCTTTGGATGGGTGGATGGGATCCTAGCAGAGGGGCGGAGGAGTAAGGAAAACAAAACGGTTCCTTGCCACTCTTGCAGGAACGACAGATGTCCTGCTGTGGAGTTGAATTTGCACAAACTAAATATACGCATAATGCCACTCAGCCGTATTGCTGGTGGGGTTATGGTGTTGTGCATAGGTGTCACGAGCAAGGATTCACAATGTAACACTGGGGGAATGCTTCATTGCTGTGCAAACAGGAGGAACGAAACTACACGACCCAGCATGCAGCGAAACCAAGAACCCAGCTTCCATCAAGGGGTTTTTTGTTTTTGCGACCAAGGGTGGTGGGGAGACTTCAGTCCCAAGCTACTCAAACAGGGAACTGGGAATCAGTAGTAAAAGCCCTAGATGATTTCATGGCTATATCCACAACATAAAAATTGCATTCTTCCTTTCAGTGGAATCTTGACAACTATATTTTGATGTAGGGAGATTTTGATTAAGACAGAGCCCTGTTGGATCAGACCAAAGACACATCTAGTCCAGCATACTGTTCTGATAGTGGCCAACCAGATGCCTATGGGAAGTTTGCAAGCAAGAGAGCACTCTCCCTATTTTTCAGTTTTCAGGAATTACAGTAGTATTCAAAGGAACACTGCTTCTGACCGTGGAGGTAGACCATGGTCATCATTGATAGCTCTATTCTCCATGAATTGGTCTAATATTTTAAAACTGCCAAAATTGGTGGCCATCACTTAATCTCATTGGAGTGAATCCATAGTGCTTCTGTGAAGAAGTACGGTATTTTCTTAGTTCTGTCTTGAATGTTTCAACTTTCACCTTCATAGGATGGCCCCAGGTTCTAGTATTAGAATCATGCATAATTTTAAACACCTTTATTAAGTCTATTACTTAGGAGTCTTTGGTGAGGTGCTTTATCAAAAGCTTTTTGAAAGTCTTAAGTACAGTATACAGTATCAGTGGGCTCACTCCTATCTATAGAACTCTAAAAATGATGCAGAGCTTTTCCTTGCAGAAGCCATGCTAGTTCTGCTTTAGCATGACTTGTTCTTTGATATGCCTGGTAACTCTGTAATTATGCTTTACATATTTTTTTCTTGGAACAGATGTTAAGATACCTGGATTGTAATTTCCTGCATCCTCTTTTAAAAAAAGAGTTAAATTATACACTCTTCAGTCCTCTGGTGTGGAGGCTGATATAGGGGACAAGTTACATATTTTTGTTAGAGTGACACCCACCACTCGTCTGTCGTGATTTCAACCCAACAATCAGCAACTTCACATTTGAGTTCTTTAAGGTGAATGCCATTCAGACATGGTGATTTGTAAGTTTGTAATTTAACATTAAGGCCAGGAACATGTATATTGTCGCCACCCTTGGCCTCAGTTCTTCGGATTCCATTCCTATAAAAAGTTAGTTGAGGCACAGAGATCTGTCCTCCATCTTCTGCTGTGAGGACTGTTGCAAAGAATTCATTCATTTTCTCTGCAGAGAATTAAGCATTAAGAGTTGATGCAGTTGGGTTTGTTAGGGATGGGACTTGCATGTGTGCCCTTGTCTATTGATACAGAGTTTGCATGCCTGAACGTGGCTGTTGTTTCATTTGAAAACTGAATGTTTGAAATACCCAGCAGCTCAAATATGGGTCATTCATCTTAGAGTAAAACAGTAGCTTCTGATTAAGCTATCTGGTTAAATATTGTAGTGCTTGATTCAGAGGAAGTTAGTCACGTTTTAGTTTTATTAAAATCAATGGAACAAGTTAGTTATAACAAACTTAAACACCATTGATTTCTGTGAGACTAACCCATGACCCAATTTAATCTGGGTCTAGCCATTCATATTCTCCCTGTTAAGCCAATAAAACTTTATTTAATACAAAGCAAAAATCATCAGCATATTTATAAATGCAAAATGCCTGTTTCCCAAACTGCATTTTTTGACACTAGAACTCTCCTATCGATCATGTTGATGCCTGAAAAAGTTAACATGGATCGGTCAGTATTTGTGGTCTGCTTGAATAAAACATACAGTAATGTCTTAGTATGTAGATCTACATCTTGGGTTAAGAAGGAATCTGGTTAGTCTTCTTCACAGCTAACATTGCTGCTGACATAATGATTAACTGTGGTTAAGCTTGGTAGGGAAAAATAGTTCTTCAGAAGAGTAGGATAAGTGAAACAGCATGCAGTTCTGCAGTTTCCTCCCAATTGTTTAGGCTTCATTAAGCATCATATTTGCAATAGCTGTATAACTGAGTCCTTGTACCTGGTTCCTAACTTATACCTAAGATTTATTTAGTGGCATCTAAGGTTTTTTTTAAAATCAGTGTTGGTGAACAATTAATGTCACTCTGATTGATAAATTCTAAGAAATTATTCCCTATTTTACTCAGTTAGTAACGCATAGGAGGAAGATTGTTAGTGAAGTGTGTGATCATTTCAACAATTTATATTCTTGGCTTCTTTCTAGCATGGTTGCCACAGGGCCACTTAAATACTGGCTCCTCGCTGCTGCTTTGCTCCTTCTCTTGTGCAGCTGGCGAAACAAACCAAGAAAGTTGGCTTGCAAATCTTCTTTGGAAGCCATTAACCATAATTCCTGCTACTCATGTAACAGGAAGCTCTGGTTAACTCTGGCCTCCTAGTCTGTTTTGCAGCTTGTGTGAAGAGAAAAGCTGCAGCAAAGGGGCAGGTAGCAGGGCTTTGATTGTGTGAGTGCAGCTTTAATGTACAAGTTTTTCACTTGCTCATGGTGGTCTTTGTATGAATTTACATTTATGGGTGGAATTCAGTGTCACACTCTTCCAGCCTCTTCCTATGCAAGCAACATCACAGCTTTCCAGATGGAAGGATCCTACTCTCCTCCCCTTGCATGCAGTTCTCGGGGTTCTGACCTCCCCGGAGGAACTGGGCAATTAGTATTCATATATCACACTTATTTTCTTGTGAAGGTGTTGTTGCCCTAAGTTTTATATGGTCAGTTTAAAATATGGCTAGAGTTTGGTTAGAAAACAATTTTTGCATCAGCTATCATATTCAGATAATTGTTGCAACTCTCATCAACTTGCAGTATATCATAAGGAAAGAAGGGAATTTTTAATTAGTGACTGAATCATCTATGACAATTAATTTCTTTAGATTTCTACGGGTCACCTTGGAGGGAGGACTCAGGAACATTTTTTCAGAAGGATTCAATCAATAAAGGCTCCTAAGGAAACGGGCCTTTGGAAAGCCTTTGACCTGTGCTCAGTGGATGCTGCTACCTTGCTAACTACGATTGTGCTCATATGCTCATCCTATATGCTTAATACACAGTACTAACAACTGAGACTTATTTTAGAGAGCTTGAATGCCAGGAGTTGGGAGTTTAACAAGTGGCTTCCGTAAAACTCCATTGGCAACCAAGACGACAAATTCTAGTGTAACATCTCCTGTTAATGAGCAAAGTGATATTCTCACCAAACTAGCTAAGTTACAGTCCAGGTTGATCCAAATACAACAGCATGGGCAACAAAATGTTGATGAAACAATTGATAATCAAGCCTTTCACCCACAAGCTGTTTCTCCAAAATGTATGGTTAAAAAGAGGGTTACCAGAGGAACTTTTAAGTGTATAGATGCAGAGCTGCAAACTCAACCCCCCTTGATATGATATGGTGAGGGACAATCCTGCCCTAAATGATGTGGACGAATCTTGCACCGCTTTCACTAGGTTTCAGGTATCGGATGATTCTGCCTCCCACTGCAATCCTATAAAACAGCCCACAATGTTTGGTAGCCCCCTCCCAAATTTACAGATGAGGCAGATCAGGGGGTTACAGGGGGAAGAAGAGGTGGGGAAAGGTCAGTTTCATGACCTTGCCCTTCTGCTTGCATAACATTGGATACACTCATATGGGTTTAAAAGCTAGTGACATTAATAACTGGTATTTGGATAACACCAACAGTGTCTGAGGTCACTGTTGAACTGGATTTGGGTGAATAAACTGAAACAGAGTCCAGAGAAGTTGAATATATTGATGATGGGGAGGTCTGTTGACTCTGATGTCCTTTTCTGGATTAGATAAACACTTGCTTTTAACAATCAGTTAAATATTTAGGAGTACTCCTAGATCGAGCTCTGTTATTGGATTCATAGCTGATACATGTGACCAGAACTGGCTTTTCGCTAACTTCCAGTGCTAGCTGCATTCTCTTCTGAAAGGTTACAGATTTGCCATTGTCACCCATGCCTTGGTAATGTTTTGATTATTGCAATGTACTTGGGATTGGGGTTTTTGAAAATATTCAAAAATTGCATTTTATCCAAAATAACTGCTACCTGCTGTTTTGGGAACATAAGAGAAGTGCTTGAACATCACTTCCAGTTGGTTTCTGTGCTGTTGAGAGTAAATAGCACCTTTGGTGGCAAATATCAGTCAGGAGCAGGGATAACAGTTGGTAGGAAACAGTGATGGGCCCTGATTCAAATGATGACTGCTTTTCATTCAGAAAAAGCAGAATTGTTACCTGTTTTAAAGGTGATTAGTTTATGGTTTAGACTACATACTTTTTGTTCTGTATCCCTGTTGCGTATTCCTCACTCAAGATGCCCAGTCTTGGAGCTTTACTACAGACTTTCTCTCTTTTTGCCTCACCTATATCTCTACCGACTTTCTCTCTTTTTGCCTCACCTATATCTCTGCTTTTTTGAAACATCATTCTACTGATTACTCATGCTGGAATATGCCATCCTTCATGATTTCTTTCTATTTCTGTACCTATATCTCACAAGAGAATACTCTCCAACACATTTTCAGGTACCAGTGTGCTGCTTGACATGTTGATTATATGCCTGCCTGTCTTGTCCCCAAAGCTGCCTTTACATGCTGTAATAGTGCCTCCTGAAGGACATGCTGTGGGTTTTTTGTTTTTTGTTTTTTTTTTTTTGCAAAAGTGCCCTCTTGTGGTCACAAGTAGTCTCATTGTCTGCACTGGTGAAAGCCACATTGTTTGAGATTTTTTGCTGCAGCAAAACCCCCCAAAATGTTGTAAAATAAATTGAAATCTAAACCAGCCAAGCATCTACATCATGGTTTAAATTATCACAAATGAGCCATGGTGAGTCTTAGAGTCACATTCCTTCTCTCTCTCTAGGCATAAGAGAAAAGAGCAAAAAATTCGGCTTTCATTCAGAATTGATTTCATCTAAAGTTTCCTGTTATGTATGAAATTACAGTTTATTTTAGCTGTACTTAGTCAAACCAAGATATCCGACTATTCTTTGCTGGGTGATTTGCCACTACTGCCCCATCCTTAAACTTGTGTTTTCTTACGTATTGCAGCCTTATTACTGGTCTACAAAAGATTTTACACGCCTGCTTTTTACTCATAAGAGAAGCTGACGAAGGATGGACCAAGTGCTTCATCCCTCCTTTGACAAATCCTTCTTATGAGTAAAAAGTAGGCTAGAAAAACATTTTGAAGGTTAGAAATTCAGTAGGCTAGGAAAGGAAACTCACTCCTTCACCAGCCCCATTTTTATGGTTGATAGACAGCACCTGGTTTGATAGTGTCTTGGGCAAGGTTCCCTAGAACATTCCCCTTACTATAAAGACTTATTGGGGTAGATGGGTACCAATGGTGTGATGTCTGTGACCAGCACCTAGTGCTGGAGTAGAACAAGAGGGCGAGATGGAGCTTGCTCAGGACTTATCATACTAGGAAGAATGTAGGAGAGATGGAGAGACCGTATTTTTCGCCAGATGTTTTGGGACTACAACTTCCATCATCCCTGACCCCTGGTCCTGTTAGCTATCAAATTACCATCAATTTTATTTTAATTTAATTAATTTTATAATGAATGTTTTTAGAATGTTGGATTATTTTGATTGTTGTTAGCCACCCTGAGCCCAGCTTCGGCTGGGGAGGGCGGGATATAAATAAATTTTTTTTTATTTTTTTTTTTTATTATTATTATTAAAACATCTGGAGGGCCGAGTTTGCCTATGCCTGTCCTAGTCCCTAGCTGTGCTGGATTTCTCCATGGAGTTCCCTGTCTCTTCCTCCAAGAAAGTCTCCCCTGGATCTTGGTTAGGCCCTGATGGGTGACCAATAGCACTGGCAAACAGCACAGGGGACTGGTGTTGGCAACTAGCAAGGGCAGCCATTCTAACTACCTGGTACTCAGGAGCCCAGCAGTAATTGTGAGGCAGATTCACTTCCTTATTCTCAGTTCTTCTGGGCCTTGTCCTTGAGATATAAAAAATAAGGACATGAGTTGCAGCTTTAGTTGTACCCTGTTCTGTAAATAGAACACTGTATGTGAGACAGCTGCCACTGACTACTTGAGTGTCAGTTCTTCTGATTAAGAATAAGGAAATGTGTGATGGTTGTATGTCCCAGCTTGCTTCTTTACAGTACTGGATGTGAGGCAGATACATCTACTGCCTCTTCTTTATGCCCAGTGCCTCTGGGCTCTCCCCACAACATGTGTATAGGGGGCAAGGCCCAAACAAATTGAGAATTGAAAGGGAGTAGCAGCTGCGTCACACTAGACTGGCCAAGAGGATGCTTGCTAAAGGAGCAAATCATGTGTGATAGTTAAAGGATATTTGCATTTTTTATGTTACCAAGTTTGGGGTGGTATATATGGAGCATCCCTTAAGCTTTCAAAGTCAGAGGGTTAAGAAGAAAACTGCATATCACAACTGTGCTAGCCTGGAATGCTTTCAGATATTCTGAGCAGATTAACCAACATAATACAGATTGTGTGCCACAACAGGAGAGCAGGAATGAGTAAATTATGCCTTGCTAGAGGCTGAGGAATATGTTTCAGTAAAAACACTCCATTCTACAGAGGAAGACAAAACAGTCCTCCATGGTCACCAGGCCATCTGTCATGCAGGAAACTACATCTGTCCTTCCTCACTACAAATATGGCAATTAGTCTCTGAACCATGAAAACACAATATCAAGCAAGTTTCTCTAGGAAAAAATGATTTCAAATGTAGATTCAAGCAGAACAGTAACTGTTCTCCAAATATTTGTTTCAGAAGAAAAAAAAGCCTTTGAGTACCCCAGTAGACAACTGCTGAGGCACTAGATTAAAATTAACCATGTATATCATTAATACAAAGGATAGTCTTGATTGCAAACTATTATTATGCCAGTGACTCAGTGTATTTTAGGAGAGAATGAACTAAAATGTGGGTCAGATAAAGGCCCCAATCGAAAGAAGTTACATGTTTGTGCAGATGAGTACTGAGTTCTCATTAGTGTATGTTTTCTGTGCAGTGGTTTATGCAGCCACTGAGGCAAGATGGTTTTTAAACTGAGCAACATTTTCCTGCCTTGGCAGTGGGAATTGCTGTGGTGAAATTAAAGAAAACTTGAGATACATATTGAATTCTTGACTCTAGCTTTATTGTATTGCAGGCAAAATATTTACAATTTAGGACATTGGTTTTGATGGGTGTATGCTTTCAGTCAATTAGAGACTTGCTCTAAGTTTTTGTTTATGGCATATATGCATAGGTACCGTATATTATTGGAGTCAGGTTATTTGGTGTTTCAATCTTACGACTTATCTTTGCTTATGTCCACTATAAGTAATTGACACATGTACTAAATTAAACTTAAAAAACAACAACTCCTTGGGTTGGATGCTGAGGTACCATGTGTGATCAGAAAAGTATTTCTACTTGTTCAGGGGGACTCTTGAATTCTGCTGATTTCCTTCCTTCCACTGCAGCATCCCATGTTCTGTCCAGAGGGTCCACTGATTCTTAAATTCAGATAGCTGTGAAACATGGGAGTCTACAACAGGGAAAGGATTGGAAGAGCTCTGCGTGTACTTTTCTGGATCCTATCGTATGTGGGTACTCAGCATTTTTTAAAAAATTTAAAAGTCACACATGAAGATTCTATTTTCAACATTTCTGTCCTGCTTTCCTACTTCTAAGGTAGCTCAAAGCTGCTAAGCATAGAGGGTTGGATTTAGGGTTGCCCTTTGCAAATGGAAGGAACCAGTAGCCCCCTCCCCCTGACACACTGGCACCACTCCTCACACTTTTATGGAGTGTCTCCGAACCTTCCGGAGCAGGAGATTTTCAGGAGATACAGAGGACTCTAGGGGGATAGAGGAATATGCAAGGTGTACCTCCCATTCCTCACTCCAGTTGGAGTGCCGTGTGAATGGAATCTTGCTCATGGGAAATGGGGTCCATTGGACCCACAGATATATTAGGCAGTGCTTGGTTGTTCATTCATTCTCTTATCTCTGGTGCATTATAATAAAATCAGCAGATAGAACAGATTATTTGGGTATGGGTTTCCATAACTGATTCATGAGTGATCAGTTTTAATAAAAGAATGAGCTAGTTGGCCCTTAGCAGGGTCAGTAAAAGTTGAATAGTGGCTCTCTTTGCAGCTGCCTTGCGGAGCAGTCACTGTCCTTCAGTCTCTTATTCAACCTTCAATGCTATGGCTGTATTATAGGAATCTATATTGAGTAATGTTTTGAATGCTAAAACTTCTCAGATTTGTCCCTTTTCTCTGTCACTAACAGTACCTATCCTCTGCTTAGAATAATTTCACCTCTTTCCTTGTCCCCTTTGTGTTCATCCTTTTGCATTTAGAGTGCAGTACAGCTGCATCAGAATGCAGAGGAGCCTGAATTTTAATTAGGAAGAAGCTTGGAATAGTCGTCAAGTGCCATTACATAGGTTCTGTGATTAGTAAGAGCAAGCAAACTAGAACAGTGGTCTACAGTACAATAGTTAAAAATTGCTGCTCTGTGCTATTATAAATACTTCATTGTAATTATTTTCAGTGATATGGAAAGTATTTATTGCTAATTCATATAACCATCCTATATGTTAATTATTCTCTACATTGTATATTAGTTGACTTTTTTTTTAAGGGTAGAGGAGCAGGAAAGAGAAAACATTTCTTGAGAACTATTTACAGAAAATTGTAATATCTTCTGAATTTATGGGGGAAGGGACTGACAATCTGATTATTACCTTAAATATCATTTGGAGAAGCAATTCAATGAACAGTAGAGCTTCTCAAATTTCATTGTTGACAAGGGGCCCCTGTGTAAACACACGCTGTGGATTGTGGCCAGTATGTGGAAACAGTTACCACTTAGATGAATATACACACTGAGGTATTGGGTATCATTATCAATATTAGCATCTTCATTCCACAAACATCAGACTCTTTTAATAATCTGTTATTTATGGAGTCAGTTATGTGAGGTCTTGCAGTGGCACGTGGGGATGGGAGTAGAATGGCAATAGGTGGGCTGAGGTGTTAACAAGGTAAATGGTATCACCATCTCCACCCAGAGTTCCCCCAACCTTGTGTCCACTTTTTCCTGCCCTGTCCCAGTTAATGTAGCACCACTGCTAGGAGGTTACCACTGCAACTTCATTCCCCTCACACACTTCCTGTGGAGGTTTATACTTTGATCAAATGGTGTCATTGGTCATCATACTGTTTATTTGGTAACACTTGGAAGTTAGATTTATTGAATGTTTGTAATTATTCATAGATTCCCCAGATTTCTGTTTGAAGTTTGTTTTTTAAAAAAATAATAATTTTATTTTGCTAACTTTCTGCCTTTTGAAACCTCATTGTTTGGAAAGGAGAGAAAAATCACCCATGCTGAAACATATGCATTTTAAACATATTTTAGGTTCCGTTTCTAAATGCATTTAATTAGAAATAAGTTCAGTTGAAATCAGTGCAATATTGCAGTAGAAAGAGCTTTGTGTGTTGAAGCTGTGCATTCATTCTGCTTTATGTGACTATCTTCCCAGACAAGTTCATAGTGGATGGTTAGCTTTACATTGGTTATCTAATTATTGGAGGATAGGGTTCATGTTATTATTGTATAAGCATTATAAGTGCACTGATGAGTATTGATTGCTCTTTCTGAGCAGCAGAATCCTACTTGGACCCCAGTACACTGGACCACATATAATTGCATGTATGTTTCCTTGGATTGCCTTTGTTTGATCAGGGATCTTAACTGGAAGCAAGTGCCATTGATGTTGATGGAACATGTTCTTCATATAAATGTGCTTAAAATAAGAGCACTAAATGCATGTAAGGTGCATTTAAGTGTGGACATGTGAGCTACATACCCATTTTTATATATCTAACTTAAAAGCATCAGGTGTGTGTGTTTGAATTTATTGAAACATTGAAAGTAGACCTATAGGTAACTGTAATTAACAGAGTGTTTCTTCTTTCCCTTTCAGAAATATGGACCACTTGATCTGAACATATAAGTTTATTGCAAGCATGAGAATCCAAGAAGAACTGAAAATACCTTTAAAAAATTGGAGATAAATTTTTAGTGTGTAGAAGCACTTTTAAGAATGAACACTACAGCTGGTTGTGTTGGTAACTACAGAAGGATGAGAAGAACACTATGATGGCAAAGAACAAAGAGCCTCGTCCCCCTTCCTATGCTATTAGTGTGATTGGACTTTCGGGGACTGAAAAGGATAAGGGGAACTGTGGAGTTGGGAAATCGTGTTTGTGCAATAGATTTGTGCGTTCAAAAGCAGATGAATATTACCCCGAACATACCTCTGTGCTTAGCACAATTGACTTTGGTGGACGAGTTGTTAATAATGATCACTTTTTGTACTGGGGTGACGTAACACAATGTGGAGAGGATGGAATAGATTGCAAGATTCATGTTATTGAACAGACTGAGTTCATTGATGATCAGACTTTTCTGCCTCATCGGAGTACGAACTTACAACCATATATAAAGCGTGCAGCTGCAACCAAATTGCAGTCAGCAGAAAAACTTATGTATATTTGCACAGATCAGCTTGGATTGGAGCAAGACTTTGAGCAAAAGCAAATGCCTGAAGGGAAGTTAAACATTGATGGATTTTTATTATGCATTGATGTAAGTCAAGGATGCAATAGGAAGTTTGATGACCAACTTAAATTTGTGAATAACCTCTATGTTCAGCTATCAAAATCTAAAAAGCCTATAATAATAGCAGCAACTAAATGTGATGAATGTGTGGAACACTATTTACGAGAGGTTCAGGCATTTGCTTCAAATAAGAAGAACCTTCTGGTAGTAGAAACATCAGCAAGATTCAATGTTAACGTAGAGACGTGTTTTACTGCACTGGTACAAATGATGGATAAAACCCGGGGTAAGCCTAAAATAATTCCCTATCTGGATGCCTATAAAACACAGAGGCAACTTGTTGTGACTTCAACGGATAAATTTGAGAAACTTGTTCAGACTGTGAGAGACTATCATGCCACTTGGAAAACGGTTAGTAATAAACTGAAAAATCACCCAGATTATGAAGAATACATTAATTTAGAGGGAACAAAAAAGGCCAAAAATACATTTTCAAAACACATAGAGCAGCTTAAGCAAGAGCATATAAGAAAAAGAAGAGATGAATACATCAATACATTACCAAGAGCTTTTAACACACTTCTGTCAAATCTTGAAGAGATTGAGCATTTGAGCTGGTCTGAAGCTTTGAAATTAATGGAAAAAAGGCCAGATTTCCAACTATGTTTTGTGGTGCTGGAGAAAACACCCTGGGATGAAACTGATCACATAGATAAAGTGAATGACAGGAGAATTCCATTTGACCTTTTGAGCACGCTAGAAGCGGAAAAAGTCTATCAAAACCACGTGCAGCATCTAATATCAGAAAAAAGGAGAGTTGAAATGAAGGAGAAGTTCAAAAAAACACTTGAAAAAATACAGTTCATTTCTCCTGGGCAACCCTGGGAAGAAGTTATGTGTTTTGTAATGGAGGATGAAGCTTTTAAATATATTACAGAGGCAGATAGTAGAGAAGTATATAGTAGACATCAACGGGAAATTGTTGAAAAAGCCAAAGAGGAATTTCAGGAAATGCTCTTTGAGCATTCAGAACTGTTTTATGACCTGGATTTGAATGCAACACCTAGTTCTGATAAAATGAGTGAAATTCATGCAGTTCTGAGTGAAGAGCCTAGATACAAAGCTTTACAGAAACTTGCACCTGATAGAGAATCTCTTCTATTAAAACACATAGGGTTTGTATATCATCCCACTAAAGAAACCTGTCTCAGTGGCCAAAACTGTATGGACATTAAAGTAGAACAGTTGCTTGCCAGAAGCCTCTTACAATTGGACCACGGTCGCTTAAATTTATATCACGATAGTGCCAATATTGATAAAGTTAATATTTTCATTTTGGGTAAAGATGGTCTGGCGCAAGAGCTGGCAAATGAGATTCGGACTCAATCCACGGATGACGAGTATGCCTTAGATGGAAAGATATATGAACTTGATCTTAGGCCAGTTGATGCAAAGTCACCTTATCTTCTAAGTCACTTATGGACTTCTGCCTTCAAACCACATGGATGTTTCTGTGTGTTTAATTCAATTGAATCACTCACTTTTATTGGAGAGTCGATCACTAAAATCAGGACCGAAGCATCTCAGATAAGAAGAGACAAATATATGGCCAGTCTTCCATTTACATTAATACTGGCTAATCAAAGAGACAGTGCTAGCAAGCACTTGCCGATTCTGAGACACCAAGGACAGCAATTGGCAAACAAGTTGCAGTGTCCTTTTATAGATGTGCCTGCTGGTACTTACCCACGCAAATTTAATGAGGCTCAAATAAAACAAGCTTTGCGGGGAGTTTTGGAAGCAGTTAAACACAATTTTGATGTTGTGAGTCCCGTTCCTACAATTAAAGACCTATCGGAAGCTGATTTGAGAATTGTCATGTGTGCCATGTGTGGAGATCCATTCAGTGTAGATCTTATTCTTTCACCCTTTCTTGACTCTCATTCCTGTAGTGCTGCTCAGGCTGGCCAGAATAATTCCCTCATGCTGGATAAAATTATAGGTGAAAAACGGAGGCGAATACAGATAACAATATTATCATATCATTCTTCAATTGGTGTAAGAAAAGATGAACTTGTTCATGGGTATATACTAGTTTACTCTGCTAAACGGAAGGCATCTATGGGAATGCTTCGAGCATTTCTTTCAGAAGTACAGGATACGATTCCTGTCCAATTGGTGGCTGTTACTGATAGTCAGGCAGACTTTTTTGAGATTGAGGCTATCAAAGAATTAATGACAGAAGGTGAACATATAGCTACTGAGATTACAGCTAAATTTACAGCTCTGTATTCTTTATCTCAATATCATCGTCAGACTGAGGTTTTCACATTGTTCTTCAGTGACGTTTTAGAGAAGAAAAACATGATTGAAAATTCTTATATGTCTGACAGTACAAGAGAGGCAACACATACAAGTGAGGATGTTTTCCTGCATTCTCCCAGAGGAGGTGCTCTTACGTACAATTACTATCCAGATTCAGAAGATGATACTGAAGCCCCACCTCCTTACAGCCCTATGGGGGATGATGTACAGCTTATCCCAAAAGATCGATTCGATTTGGAAGGTAATGAATACCCTGTTCATAGCACACCACTTAACTGTCACGATCATGAACGCAACCATAAAGTGCCTCCTCCAATAAAGCCAAAACCAGTTGCACTCAAGCCCAATGTGAAAAAACTAGATCCAAACCTGTTAAAAACTATTGAGGCAGGTATTGGCAAACCAAGAAAAACTAGAACAACTCTGGCACCATCTGATGATCTAGATCAATCTGATAATTATGCAGAACCTATAGACACCATTTTCAAGCACAGAGGTGTTACTGATGATATCTACGCAATTCCAGATGATAGTCAGAATCGCATGATTAAAATTCGAAACTCATTTACTATAAATAATACCCAAGGAGATGAAGAAAATGGATTTCCTGACAGAATGTCAAAGACCCACGGCGAAAGAAGACCTTCAAAATACAAATACAAATCTAAAACACTCTTCATCAAAGCCAAATCTTATTATAGGAGAGCACATTCAGATGCAAGTGATGATGAAGCTTTTACAACATCTAAAACTAAAAGAAAAGGAAGACATCGTGGCAGTGAAGAAGATCCCCTTCTGTCCCCAGTGGAAACATGGAAAGGTGGCATTGATAACCCTGCTATTACATCAGATCAAGAGTTAGATGATAAAAAGATGAAGAAGAAAACTCAGAAAGTAAAAGAAGACAAAAAAGTAAGATTTTTTAAACTAACTTTTATTTTAACAATGCATTAAGTTCTTTTTGGAATTGTGCAAGTTGGTCTTATCAAATGTTGATTGCATTGTCTAGCTGGGAAAAGGCCCCATGGAAAATTGGATGGAGGGATCTTGCATCAAAGGGACACAAGATTCCTCAGTCTGATTTGGGGTGATTTCCCTTCTCTTCCTTGGATGATTCAGAGTGCTTTGTTTGGTAGGTCCCCTTGATGCCTGAAGAAGCTTTTCAGAGGTATAAAGGGGCGTGGGGGGAAGGGAAAGATAGTTTCAGCTCATGCAGTGTTGGTTACAACCCAATGCCTTTGTTTCATATCGCAGAATCTTTTTAGGAATGTCAGCTATATTTCTGGTTAGATTTGACAAATTTATATAGAAGGCTATTCAGACTGGCATATTTTAGTGACTAGGATAATGTTACTCCTATTGGTGAATGCACTGCTGTTGTTGGGCTCAGGTTTTTGATTTGTTTTTTAATTAGAAAGCGGCATGTATTCAGTGCACAGCAGGTTTAGCATAGTCAGTGCTTTATTACTGGCCATTGTAAAGATAATAAATATGTAGCGTTTCAGATGTCAGTGAGGTCAACATTTGAAATAACTGTTTTGTGAACTTTGTATGTTGAATGTGGAAAGGGTGGGAGGAGAAATTGTTCCTTGCAAACTAATACGGTTATTTGTGAATTATCAGCTATTCCTTTATGGTCTTGTGCTGTGTTAGATCAGATCTAGTCCAGTGTTGTGTTGTCCTGGCAGTGGCCAGCTGTGAGTCTTACACATAACCAGGATACAGTGTTGTTATATAGATGTGTATTGCCATTGGGCATAGTAGGTTGTTGTGCAATCTTTGGGCAATCAACTTGTGAAACTCTTCTGTGATTGCACTTTTGGAAAGAGTGTTGTATGCAAAAGAGTACTGTGCAGGGAGGAACCCCTGCATCAAAACCTGCCTATGACACTATTTAGCTCTCTCTCCAGATAATTATTTGACACAGGCAGTTGAAAAACTTTACTGAATAAAAGTGTGCATTGCAGATAAAACGTTTTGCCAGCTTTCTACATGTTTTAGTAGCTTGTATGGTTAGTTTTGAAAAGATATTGGCCCCGAAGGACTTTCGTGGGGATTAGTTCTGGTTTTTCTAATATTTCCTGTGCACAGAGAAGCAGTTTTAAAAATATTAAATATTGTTTAGAGTAATAATTCTAAAAGTATATATAGTGCAGGCAAACTGTCAGATTTTAGAATTGCTTTATAGAATTGCTATGTCTTGGTACTGATTATTTCTTTATATAAAAGAAGTTCTTTGGGCAAAGTTCTCTGGGCAGCATTGATAGAGTAGGAGATACTAGAAGGACATCTGTAGAAAATACTGAGTAAGCAAGAAATTAACCTTTACAGCTGTTACACTACTTGCAGAAATTGCTTCAGCTCAAGCAGTGGAAAAAGCAGCCACTGGTTATTGGCTGCCTAAGAAATGGAGTCAGCCTGGTGTATTACTACTTACTTGTAAACTTTCACATTTTAAAAAGTTTCTGTAACCCATAGCCAGAGCTTTCCAAACTGTGTTTCACGACATGTTAGTGTGTCGGCTGAAGTGTGTAGTGCGTCACGCAAATGCTCCCCGTGCTCCTCCCAGGGCTGGAAAGGGAGAGGGCAATTGGTTTGCAAATGATTTACTGAGGAGGTTATTTGAGTAAAAATTAGGATGAAATCCTGGCATATCATTAATGCCTATCCTGACTTCTGCCTTGTACAGTACTTTAATGCAAAAAATGCAAAAAGCAAAAAAGGTCAAATATGAGTTTAGTTTAGTGGTAGCTGCTACAATGCCATTCTGACCCATGTGAGATAATCTCCCAGCAGCTACCAATAGGCTCCTCAACATCTTCTATGAGCCTCAGATCTTTCCACATGAGTCCAACAAAATGGTTCTCCTTCAGTTCCTATACCAAACAGTAACATTGAATGATGCCCTTTCTTACAACATTAACAAAATGAGTAGGTTTGATAATTTCAAAGAGTGAAGCTTTTAAAATAATAATCACAAAAATGGGAAAATGTTTGTGCAGATATTTCTAAAAGAAAGCCAATGTGAGCTGGTGAATAGTATGTTGGCCTAAATGTAAGGCATCATTTATTAACCTCAGATCTGTGCAATGCATATAGTGTTGGCTTGCTTTACAGTTTTATTATAGAGAACGCAGGAAATTTTGTAAATAGTTTTTTCCTCTAAAATAGCTATCATTGTGGTTAACTATAAACAGCTTAATATTGTCTTGTCATTTTGTTAATTTGTTTCAGGACACTTAATTTTGTACAGTGTGGGAAAGAAAAAAGGTGGAACCATAGTTCATCTTCACCAGTTTAAAGTATTTCCCTTCTGAATGGAGCTATCACACTTCATAGAAACATACTATTTAGTGTTTTGCATTGTAGGTCTTGAGAAATAGGAGCTAGCATCCAAAGGCACACAAGTGAAGTTCTGCTTGCACAAGGGGAGATTCCCCACTGTTGCTTGTTTGTGTCCTGAAAGGCCATGCCAGAGCATGCCACAGAAGGAAAGATATGTCATAAACATTTTAAGAAGTGGCCTGTTGGGCTTCAGTTGGAAATGGAAATTGGCAAAAAATGTCCTGCGACTTGATATTTAAGCCACAGTCGTATAAACCCTTAAGTTTAATATGGTATTCCAAACCATATAGTGCTATGTGTTGTGGATGTTCAGTTGAGCAGTTAGGCTCAGCACAGGAAGCAACTGTGTAATTGAGATTGCTTTTATTAGGCAAACACGCACATGCACACGATATACACACACTATTTGCAGTTGCTATAAAATGTCTTCACTCTCTGAGCCCAGAGATGGTTCTAGTTTACAAAGTCCTTAGTGAAACAAAGTCCACGTAGCAAGTGCAAAGCCCAGTTGCTAACAGAATCCTGCAAGTGCCAGAGTTCTCCAAGTCCAGAAGTCTTGGAAGTTGTCCAGCTTCCCTCAAGCGAGCTCTTCACAAAGTGTTCCACATTTTCACAGGATTGTTCCTATAGTCATTTCCACGTTTCCCACAGATTCTCCTGTACTGTTCAACAATGAATGCTGTAATCTGAGATTGAGCCCTTTTCTACCCAGTGTTACTTGCTAGGTTGCCCAGCAACTTAGATAAGACAGTCATAAGATGCTGCAGCTAGGGGGTGGGGGCATTTCTGCCTATTCTTGGACATTTAATTTACCCTTTATTGTTTTCTTATTAAAAGAAGAAAATACATACATTGAACCATAATATAGAAAATTACCATTCTTTCCATCTATATACCTAAGTAATATTCCATATATTACAAAGGAACTTTAAAAAAAAAGGAATTTCAGAAAACAACACAATCAAAGCCAGCCTCCCATATGTTGCGTAGCTTTTTATCATCTTGTATGAATTTGAGTGCAGAAAGATTTTAACATTGTTGAAAAGCTTGTTTGCTCTCTTTATTGAATACATTATAAATTAATATATTCAAAATTAGTTCTGTTACTAAGATTCTTTTGTTACAGGTATGATTTTATGTAGATATTATTAATTTTTTACTTTCATTAGTGACATACTTGGCTAAGACTGCTGTTGTTTTCTTGTAGCAAAAAAAGAAAACCAAGACATTTAATCCACCAACTCGTAGAAATTGGGAAAGTAATTACTTTGGAATGCCCCTGCAGGATCTGGTTACACCTGAAAAACCTATACCACTCTTTGTTGAGAAGTGTGTGGATTTCATTGAAGACACAGGTAGGACACAAGTTGGAGCATCAATAACATTTTACTATTTCTTGGTAGTTAACTATAAAAGTCTTGTTAGCTTCTCATCATTTTATACTATGTGGTAACAGAAATAACAAGTGTGCGCTGAGGACTGTATACTTTCACATATTTCATAGAATCATAGAGTTGGAAGAGACCACAAGGGCCATCGAGTCCAACCCCCTGCCAAGCAGGAAACACCATCAGAGCACTCCTGACATATGGTTGTCAAGCCTCTGCTTAAAGACCTCCAAAGAAGGAGACTCCACCACACTCCTTGGCAGCAAATTCCACTGTCGAACAGCTCTTACTGTCAGGAAGTTCTTCCTAATGTTTAGGTGGAATCTTCTTTCTTGTAGTTTGGATCCATTGCTCCATGTCCGCTTCTCTGGAGCAGCAGAAAACAACCTTTCTTCCTCCTCTGTGTGACATCCTTTTATATATTTGAACATGACTATCATATCACCCCTTAACCTCCTCTTCTCCAGGCTAAACATACCCAGCTCCCTTAGCCGTTCCTCATAAGGCATCGTTTCCAGGCCTTTGACCATTTTGGTTGCCCTCCTCTGGACACGTTCCAGTTTGTCAGTGTCCTCCTTGAACTGTGGTGCCCAGAACTGGACACAGTACTCCAGGTGAGGTCTGACCAGAGCAGAATACAGTGGCACTATTACTTCCCTTGATCTAGATGCTATACTCCTATTGATGCAGCCCAGAATTGCATTGGCTTTTTAGCTGCCGCGTCACACTGTTGGCTCATGTCAAGTTTGTGGTCAACCAAGACTCCTAGATCCTTTTCACATGTACTGCTCTCAAGCCAGGTGTCATCCATCTTGTATTTGTGCCTCTCATTTTTTTTTGCCCCCCCCCCAAAAAAAAGGGTTTACCAAAGCAAACCCTTGAAGGATCAGTGCTTTTTAATTTGTTCATAAATATTGTAGAGTTGGGGTAAGTAATGTGATAGCCAAATTGGCTGATGCTACTGAATTGTCACTAAAACAATTTTAGGGTCACTAAAACAAAAATAAAGATCGTGGAGTGCTCCAAACTCAGGGAATGGGTGATAAAATGGAAAATGCAATTTATTGTAAACAAGTGTAAAGTGATACATATCTGGACTTAAAAAACAACAACCCCTTAATTTCATATATATGCTCATGGGGTCTGAAATCGTATTGACTCTGGACAGGACTTTGGGGTTAGAGTAGATAGCTTTATGAAGATGTTCACCCAGTGTGCAGCAGATTTAAAAAATGACAAATTCCATCCTAGGGATCATAGGAAAGGAATTGAAAATAAAACAGCCAATATAACAGTGCTGTTGTGCAACTGTTTAGAATACTGTGTACAGTTCTAGTTGCCTCATCACAAACTGGATATTGTACATTTGGAAAAGGTTCAGAAAAGGCCAACCAAAATGATCAAGGGTTTGATTGGAGCAACAGTGTGTAAAATTATGCATGGCATAGGGAAAGTGGATAGAGAATATTAAATGCAGTGCAATTATTATGCAGTAGATTATGGACATTACCCCTACTGGGGGCAGTGATGGTCACTAGTGTGGATGACTTTAAAAGAGGATAAGACAAATTTATGAAAAATAACCTGGACTAAATCTGATAGATACTTTTTGCCTCCACTATTGGTGGCAGTGTGCTTCTGAATTCCAGTGGCAGTTATGTCCTACTTGTGTCCTTCCCTTAGGCATCTGGTTGGCCACTGTGAGAGCAGGATGTTAAACTGGATGGGCCATGGGCCCCATCCAGCAGGCTCTTCTAATGTTCTTATGACTCCTGGAATATGGAACTGGGAGGAGAGCAGATTTCTTCTACTCCTGTACATGCTGCTGATGGTCTTTTCTCTGTTGTCTTGTGGTCTCCTCTCCCTACCTGACTACATTTCCCTGACTTTGCTCAGTTGGCCTCAACCACAGACTTAGGTTTGCTGAAAAAACTGAAATCTAACATACAGAAAAATCACTTTTAAAACATGTTGTTAATGCAAATGTAAGCATGCAAGATTCCAACGAAACTTGAATTGGGATCTATAGGATTAGTGTGATTTCTATCTTCTGCCTACCTTTGTTCTAAAGTGCTATATAAAGCTAAATAATGTGAAATGAAGAGATGTTACTATGAACTTTTTGATACTGCTCTGCATGCATTTCCACTGAAATACAACAAAAATAATGCAATTCAGCCCCACTTCATGAAACAGCAGCCAAAACTCAAGAAAGGCTTGGGGGGGCAGTATGCTAAAGTTGGAGAAGGGATGGCAAGCCCCATTGCACAAACAGCATTCCCCTTTTGTTATAAGAAGAGTGCAACCCTGCTTATTAAATTATATCAGTACTGTACAATGCCTTCAAGACTGAAGCAGGTGCTGCAGGTTTGAAAAAATTCAGCTGAAATAATCTTTTAAGTGGCTTAGATTTTGTTCCCTCCCAACCCCCATTTATTTCATATATGAACATTCAATACATTTATGGATACCAGTATACAGACCTACCTAGAAGTAAGTCTCATGGAACTCAATAGGACTTGCTTCAGAGTAAACATGTATGGAGTTGTGATGTGAATGTCTACATCAAATTAAACAATACCTTCTTTAAGAATAACAGAGGCCAAAATGAACAAACTTAACATTCCTCTTTCAGTCACAGCTCATTCCATTGATTGTAAACCTTGGTAGGAAACTGTTTTAGGAAGTAAAGCAGACCCAGCATGTCTTGCCTTGTTGCCAGTAAAAGGGAATTGCTTCAATGACTCGTTTAATAAGTGTTGTTGAAATAGTTTCCTTTAGCTGGCAGTAAACCTGAGTACGCTGCATTGTGCACTCGTTAAATGTTACGTTTGAATAACTGAATGAGTGGGCAGCTCAACTATTTTTGTGTGCAGGAGCAAAGATTGTACACTTGTATGTAATATATTACACTACTCATAGGTAGCATGATTTATGCAGCTCAGGACTCAGTTTGTTGGCTTCTAGGCCAGAGCAAAAAGTAACACAGTGATTTTAACAGTGTTCTGTAGGATCAGTTTTCATTTGGGATTAAGTTGTAGTCATCAATTGATCCAGGTGCTTTATTAGATTTTGAGAATTCAAGCTGCTTAGGTGCCGATCGCACTTTGTTGGCTTTGGACAAGATTTCCTTGCAAAGTTTTTCAATTTGATAGCCTGTACTAACTTATGTGGGGGACGCGGGTGGCGCTGTGGGTTAAACCACAGAGCCTAGGACTTGCTGATCAGAAGGTCGGCGGTTCGAACCCCTGTGACAGGGTGAGCTCCCGTTGCTCGGTCCCTGCTCCTGCCAACTTAGCAGTTCGAAAACATGTCAAAGTGCAAGTAGATAAATAGGTACCGCTCCGGTGGGAAAGTAAGCAGCGTTTCCATGCTCTGCCCTGATTCTCCAGAAGCAGCTTAGTCATGCTGGCCATATGACCTGGAAGCTGTACCCTGGCTCCCTTGGCCAATAAAGCGAGATGAGCGATGCAACCCCAGAGTCGGTCACGACTGGACCTAATGGTCAGGGGTCCCTTTACCTTTACCTTTTTACTAACTTATGTAGCAGTGTTTTAACAGCAACCTTTATCTCCATTGTTTTATTTTTAAGTAGAGTCAGTAATTTTAATAACATTCGGAATGCATGAAAACTAGCATGTATATTATTACACTTGCAATAATAGCTAACATTTAAATAACTACCAATGGTATACCAAGTAACGCATTCCATTTGTGGAAGAATTTAGTCTTGTTTAGTGGAATGCCCCCCTTCTCCTTCCAATGCTAGGAGTTCCCTCCACTCTCAGGGGTTAGACTAGATGATCATTGGGATCCCTTCCAACTCTACAATTCTATAATACTGTGACTCAAATTAGAGGTTAACTATCTGGCAAACATTTTTATATCTGGAATATTTCACCTACTAATTATTTAAGAAAAGTCTTTTTTAAAAAGCATCTTTTTATCTATCCTGTGTTCAGTTTTTGACAGCTTTTCTTCCCCATGAAGCTTGTATTTCCTTTTGTGATTCAGTGCATATGATATGTGTTGAGTTAGGAGCATTTGTAAAGTGAGGTGGCTTATTCTTTGAGTAGTTCTTTTAATTAATAGAATTTTTCAAAATGAAGCATAACCAAATACAGTTAAACAAGACAAACAAAATCATTATAAACCAATACAACATGTTATTTGTGTACAAGGGAGAGAATGTGAAATGTGGGGCAGAAAAGTTGGTGGTCCAGACCCAGCACGGTGCTCAGACATTTCAGATATCAGAGAATTTCCCATCTTATGTTTATAGAAGGCCACTTTCTCATAGACACTATCTGTGACTTCTTCCAGTATTGAAGCATTAGACATTTAGCCACCATATTGTCTGTTTGTCAGGATCCAAAGGACTGGTACACATGATTCAGTAGAACATTAACATCTGTAATTTACAAGGAGGTATCAAAAGCCATATTTATGTGGCTGCTGACCTCTGACCAAAAGACTGTGGCTTTAGGAGAAAACCAAATCATGTGACAAGAGTGTTGCTTGTGGGGCATTACAATGCCAGCACCTGTCAGTGCTAGTTAAGTTTTTGCTAAAAAGACTTTGTAGATTCCAGTAAATGCTGACAATTTTTTTTTTCTTGTCTCAAACATTTGACTAGGTTTATATGAGTGAGGGTGTGGGTGGGATTGAAAAAGTGAAGAGGGATTATGGGAAATCAAATCACATACATTGGCACAAGGGCTTATTCATAACAGTCGTTAAGGCTGTAAATTATGTATGCATTTCCTTTTTTAATGGTGATTAAAATATAAAACTTTCTGAGAGCAAGTAGTAGAGCATGTTTTGTTTTTAAAAGAGTCTGATGATTAATCGCACTATGAATTAGAATTAGCTTACTATTTTTACAACCATTGTTTACTCTGAAGTAATCCCCACTGAATTGAAGCTGAGGGTTGCTTTCCTTAAAGCATTCTTAGGATTGCAAATAAACAAGAAATCAAACCATATTAATTGAAGAAATCAATAGTGCAAGTCTTGTATTTAAGCCCTAGCCTGTTAGCTGCAGGCAACAAGGAATTACATGCAAATATGAAGATGGAGTTTCATGCAGGCATGTGAGTAGAGTGCTCTAAGAGGGATGGAGTGTTCTATCTCTCATCTACATCTCGCATAATAACCAAATGGACGCCTCCTCTGTATCAGAATAGGAAGGCTGCTCTATAGCAGAGGCCATCTAGTAAAGCATTCGGCAGGCTACTTGTTGAACTCATGTTCAAGAGTGTGATAGATATTTTAATACGAATTTTGCTTATGCTTAAATAATAACTTTTCGTTTGCAAAATATAAACATGTGACATTTGCTTTCCACCCCCAAAGGTCTATGTACTGAAGGTCTCTATCGTGTTAGTGGGAATAAAACTGATCAAGACAACATTCAGAAGCAATTTGATCAAGGTAATGGGAGATATGATGCATATCACAAATAATTTTTGGTGTATCAAACCCTGCAGTCTAATTTTTGCATTCCAAACAGATAATCATAGAAGCTGGAGAGTGTGCATTTGTATAGTTATATGAAGTACAAATTACGATTTGAGTGTTAATGTATTGAGAACATGCAGTGGTAAGCAGTGTGGTAATTGTATAACTTGTTCATTTACTGTTTAGATCTGTAGCCTGCTTTTCTACAAGTTGATTACAGTAAAGTTGATAACATTAAAATAAGCCAATTCAATTTGAAAGTCACAATAATTTATCAAAAACAGCAACATCTAAATAAAACCCCGCCCCTTCCGTTTCCTACTTGTCCCCTCCCAAAATTCTGAGTGGTTGATCTATAACTGAGCTGTACAGGTAGTAAAGCATAATTTTACTGTAACAACTGTCAATTTGGTTCTAACAGTGAAGCGGATTCATTCTTTGGAAATGAGATTTCCAAACTTTCAGACAGGAGTTTTCCCCAGGCCTCCCTCAAAATGCCAGAAATTGGGCATGGAACCTTCTGCATTCAAACCATTGTTCTCTGTTACTGAGCTCAGAAGATTAGGAAGACTTTCTGCTTCTGAGTGCCTACAAAACTTAACATGACATTAGATTTGTTTTGTACTTTATTTAAGTGTTTCAGTCAAAACTTCCACCCTTGAATATGGAGTGGGTCAGAGTTTTTAATTAATACAAATCATAGTTGGCCGTCAGGGACATTTAATTTGTGGACTCCTGATTTGATGAGTAAATCAGTAATTTATTCCAGATTTTCCATTTTACCAAAAAATGATAATTCTTTCATGTTGTCTCAAAACCTTGCACTTCTACTAATGATGCACAGGTTTGTGGTTTAACTCTCCACCAAATTTGTGTATCCTAAATATTTTACTTTGATGATATAACAGTTCTGGTATCAAAAAATTAGTAACTTACTGTCACATTTTTTTAAAAAGTGATTTTTTTTGTAATTTAGCACAAATACACTTTTTGTATTGCTTGCAAAGGAGAAGGTTTGAATTGGAGAGAAGGCAGTGCTTTAGTCTTGTAGACTTTATTATTTTTTTAAAAGTTATCCTATAACTTTGGAATTTGTGGGTTCCTCCTCCTTCACCAGTTTTAAGTGTGAAGGTTGATGATGTGATAAATAATCCATTGCCACCTTAACACAAGGTTTTTCTTTTCAAGTACCAGGTTAGAGTTTACTTGCACAATAAATAAATAGAGTGTATAACTTTGCAAATAAATTAGGCTAACATCCAGTGGTGTCCATGCCTCAGCAAAAGGAACTTCTGCTCATGGGATGGGAGTTAGTGTTCCTCTCTGCCTTCCTCCCATGCCCCCTCCCCACAAAATTAGATCCAGTAGGGTTGTGGAACAGCAATCTATATGCAAAGTACCATTTCATAAGCAGATGTCTGCTTGCACAATGTTGGATTTCAGCCTTAGTCTGTACAGTTCTCTTGTGGGGAATAATCTTGGTTGCTGATAGCATGGTGTAAGAATATATAGTCCCTATTCCTAACTATGAAAGGGGGATAAATTCTGATAATGCTGATTATGGTTGGTGTGGGAGTGTATAAAACCCCAGGGCAGCCTGTCATTTTCATAACATCTGAATAGATGATTTATAATATTGATAATTATGATCAGTGCTTATGGCAGACAAGTCTACAATAGCCCATTATTCCAGGGTAATTTAAATTGAGTGGTCAATGGCTGATTTGTATTTATAGTTCAGTACGTCATTTTTAGAAATGCGTAGTTATGGCTCTCATTAATAAAATACTGTTTTGTGTTGTTTTACAGATCATAACATCAGTCTGGAATCTATGGATGTGACAGTAAATGCTGTGGCAGGAGCTCTGAAAGCTTTCTTTGCAGATCTACCAGATCCTTTAATTCCTTATTCACTGCATCCAGAATTAGTTGAAGCATCAAGTAAGCAATTCTTTTCCCCCCCTTTTTTGTGGCACATGTTTTACTGGTTAAAACATTAAATCCAAGTCTTGGAAAATTTAAATAATTGAAATAACTGTAAGATGTTATACTGATCACTTTCTAAAAAGAATGTGTTATGCTGCTTCAGATAACTGGTATGATAACCTGTTTGTTGTCTTTGAACATGCTGTTTGCTAAAGAAGTAGTAGTGCAGTGGAGGGTTCTTCTCATAGAAGTCAGGAAATTTATTTTTGCTGATTTCTATTCGCTTGGCAGCCTTCCAAGCCATCTCCCATGTTGTTCCAAAGGCCCCCGCCCCACTGCAGAGCAGATTTTTGACTTCTGTGGGTGCAAATAGCTCATGAGGGAAACAAAATTTGGTTAAAATTGTCTTTCCATTAGCAGGAGTGTTCAGTGAGTGGAACCCACTCCCAGTCTTCTGGAATATATTTTGTTTCTGAATATCTTTGGAAAATTCCAATAAATAGGAAAATCTGCTTATAGTGATAAATATTGAAGTAAAATTCATTGGTGATGTTTGTCTATTATGGCTATATAACACATAGTGGCTGCACTTCAGAAAACCATAAGCATGTAACATTCCCAGCTGTCTTCTCTGAAAAGCAAAGATTTGTGCTTGTGAATATATGTGAAAACTTCTGCCACCCATGCAAAAAACCATGCATGCTGTTTAAAAGCACAGATCATTGCCATTTTATAGCTAAATGTAGAATTACATGAGGAAGCAACATCCTTTATAACTTACTGCTGACTTCACTTCCCAGGGATTTTATTGAAAACAAGAGTTAGTAAAACGCATCCTACTAAAGCATTTAAAAATATTGCTAGCAGCTCTTCCACAAAGCTGAATTTTACAGTTCCCTGTAATTTCTCTGTAAAGATAACTTATGCAGCCATTTTATAATAGTGAGTGTGGTAATTAGAGAGATTTCTAATAGGTTTTGTAGTGTTTATCATCTGAACAAATTAATACATTCATCCATGAATAAGAATCACATTTGTGGAACTTTCCACTGTGAATAAATGTTCTAAAATTCTGTGCACATAGTTTCAAACTTTATGAAACTTGCCTGCCCCCTTGCCTGGATATACCCACAAAAACCTATCAACATTATTTGGAGTACCAGTTGAACACCTTCTTTCTCAGCCCCACCAATCCCTAGGCAAAAATCCAGGTTGCTACCTGCATTTGAGACTCCACTCGCTTGTCTATATGCTTGTTTTCTAAAAAATATGCTGTAAGAATATTTTGTGGCTTCAGTACTGCCTTCCTATAAATCAATAAAAGCATTTAATACATGTTCATTCATGCATTTGTAATCTCAAGATTGACTACTGTAATGCTCTTTATGTGGGACTATCCTTGTATCTTTTACAGAAACTGCAGCTAGTGCAGAATGTAGCAGCCAAACTGCACACAGGAGGAGGCAATTGGCAACATGTTACCCAGTTGCTCAGAGAGCTGCACTGGTTGCCAATTTGCTACTGGGCCAGGTTCAGAGTTCTTGTGTTAATGCACAAAACCCCAAACAACTTGGGCCCAAAATACTTTTAAGGACCTGTTAGGTTTCCAAGGGGTTGCTTGAGAGCAAGCAGGCAAATACAGTGGTGCCCCGCAAGACGAATGCCTCGCAAGACGGAAAACCCGCTAGACGAAAGGGTTTTCCGTTTTTGAGTTGCTTCGCAGGACGAATTTCCCTATGGGCTTGCTTCGCAAGACGAAAATGTCTTGCGAGTCTAGAGATTTTTTTTTCGCTTCCCCCCCCTTTATCTAATCTGCTAAGCCTTTAATAGCCTTTAATAGCCTTTTAGCAGCTAATCCGCTAAGCCTTTAAGCCTTTAATAGCCGCTAAACCGCTAATAGCGCTAATCCGTTAAGCCGCTAATAGGGTTGCTTCGCAAGACGAAAAAACCGCTAGACGAAGACTCTCGCGGAACGGATTAATTTCGTCTTGCGAGGCACCACTGTACCTCCCTGCTCGGCTGTGAAGGCCTGCTTTTGGTGCAAAATAAACTTTATCTGTCCAGAGCACCACTCTCCCGTGGCTGACTCATTCACTGGCAGAATCCGTGAGTGGGCGGGGCTTAAACTTTCCCCAGCAAAGTAATTTCTTGACGCCCAGTCTGCGCCTCCCCTCTCGGTGCGAAACCTTACTGCGCAAGGAGGGCGTGAGTAATGGTGGACCTCTCCCCTCCCCGCTTTGCCCAGGCAAGGTGTCCTGGCAACGCCTCGCCTCCTCCGAACCCTGCAGCTCCTCTCCACTGGAGGTGTGGTTACTCTCCCCCGCAGAGGAGGAGCTGCTTTCCACGATCTTTGGGGGCTCTCTGTAATCCATCTGGCTTTTCCTCTCTCCCTCCTGAACCGATGGCAGTTACCTGACAGGACCTATAATGTGGCAGGCCCTGGCAACTCCCTGCCAGTACAGATTCAACAGGAATCATTCCTGCCTTTTTTAAGAAATCACCTAAAAACAGTGTTGTTTAGTAGATGCGCCTTTGAAAAGTGAATTTATTTTACAGCAACCAGTACTTAAGGATTTTTAAAATGTTTTATTGATACTTTAATTTCATTGTATCTTCTGTATGGTGTACACTGCTTTGCTGTGTTTTTAGAAGTCTCTGAGAGAGGGACTCTACTTTTGAGCATTTTCAAATTGAAACAGTCCCTAGCATTTCTTGCTGCCTCTCTTTCTCTCTCAACTCTCTCAAAATTAGCCTATACAATGGTACCTCAGTTTACGAACTTAATCCCTTCTGGAAGTCGGTTCTTAAACTGAAACCGTTCTTAAACCGAGGCACGCTTCCCCTAATGAGGCCTCCCGCTGCTGGTGCCCTTCCACCATTTGGCTTCCGTTCATAGACCAAGGTAAAGTTCACTAACCGGAACACTATTTCTGGTTTTGCAGAGTTCGTATACCGAATAGTTCGTAAATAGGGCTGTTCTTAAACCGAGGTACCACTGTATGAGGAAGGAGGGTGAGAAACTGACAGCATAGAATACTTGATCAACAGAGGGCCATTGTTTAACTTCACAGTTTTGTTAATACTGTTCACATTCAAAGCCTTTTTCAATATTTGGCAAAAAAATCCTTTCTTCTGCAGAAATCCTTGATAAAACAGAGAGGCTCTATGAATTAAAAGAAATTGTGAAGAAATTCCATCCAGTGAACTACGATGTCTTCAGATATGTAATAACTCATCTGAACAGGTATTTGTTTTTCAAATTATCTATTTAAATGATTGCTAATAGAATTTAGGCTACAGTCCTGTACACTTATACCTTGTTGTGAATCCCATTGGCCTCGGCATACCTTACTTTTGAATATACATGCAGAGGATTGCACTGTTCATTAATATCTATAAGGAATAGTTATTTATACCATTTTGCCCTGTTTAAACTGCTGTTCTATGATATGCCAGTGACACCCATGAGCACATGCAACATTGGTTTGAAAACTGATAACGCCACAAGAAAGCCTTGTCTGCAGTATTCCTGTAACACATTGTTAGTGTCTAGTGTTCTGTATGGATGTATGTGGATATGTATTGTAGTAAGTAACTGTTACTTCTATTTTTGAGCTATGGGTTTTGATGTGTTTTATTAACACCAGCCCATTCTTTCTGGGTAGATGTTAATAGATCTCCCCAATCTAGCAATCCATGCAGATTCAAAGCAGATCCATGGAGTTCTTGTATAAAACTGTATGTGGTAGTAATGTTCACTTGGGGAGAATGGGTGTGGGTAGACACAAGTCCAAGACTAGTTCTCTTTCATCCTGCATTCTGGATGTAATGTTTAACCAGAACCTATATCTGAAAGTTGCTGCTGCTGGATGTTTTAAAGCAATTGTGTGGAGTATTTCTAAATGCACTTACTTTTATCTTCTTAACTTAAATTTATGAACGATTAATGCTTTCAACATTTTTATTCTTATTGTAGGGTTAGTCAACAAAGCAGAACCAATCTTATGACTGCAGATAACTTATCTATCTGTTTCTGGCCAACATTAATGAGACCTGATTTTGAAAACAGAGAGTTTCTATCAACCACCAAGATCCTTCAGTCCGTAATAGAGACATTCATTCAACAGTGCCAGTTTTTCTTCTATAGTGGAGAAATTTTAGAAACCTCTGACAGTGTGGCACACCAGCCTCCACCTTCCAACCCAGTGCAGATGGTGGATCCCATCATACCACTACAGTTACCGCCACCTCTACAACCTCAGTTGATACAACCCCAGTTGCAAGCAGATCCTCTTGGGATTATTTAAATATAACAACTGATAGCAAAAAGAAGATGATTGTAGGCAGCTTGGCATTGGATAGAAAAGGAAAACTAGACATGCATGTTTCAAGATACAAAAGCAACGATAGTACTTATGACAACATCTGGATTCAAGCTCAGACCTTTCTGTTGTAGTCATACTATACCCCTTGTTTCTTAAACACTGCAGGTCAAAATTATCTGATTAGCATGACTGGAGCGGTTTAATTTAAAAATACAGAACCAGAAATAACTAAAGTGCAAAGCTGCTGTTGCATGAACATTTATTGCAATCACTATCATTCCTGTGACAGTTTGTCACAATATATTGTGAATAAAACTTTTCTATAGAAATGTAATGATTAAATAAATCATTTATGGAACATTCAATGCTTACAGCCTGCTTTAGGGCTGTTTTTGTTATTTAATGTCCTTTTTTCCTGGCAGTTTCATTCCCATTTAACCCTTTGCTGTGGACAGCTAAAGTAGAGTTGTATCTTATTTGTAAATTCCAAACTACTTATGCTACAGTACAATTTGTTTCAGAAAGAACATAAGCTGTACTGTTATAAATACCACACGCTTGTACCTTCCATTTCTCTTCAAGAAACCTGTGGACATTTTTGTTTGAGGGGTTGATAAAATTATTTTTTCTTACAGCACAATACCAAGGACATGCTTATTGTAAAAGTGAGTTTAACCATTGTGCAAAAATGTTGCTATTACCTATTTTTCCCTTATTTTGTAATACTGTTAATTCTGTAAACAGCTGCATGTTTGAAAGATCATTGATGGTCTTGTAAACCTAATCTAATATATTTTAGAAATTTTAATTTTTCCCACTGGGAATTCATCTAGTATATAGAAAATAGTTTGACATTTTCATATAAGGCTATATAACTTTTCATACATAAATGAAAATTTTGTTGTAGTGTAAACTTGCTAAACCAAACGATTTAGGACTTAAATTTAACATATACGCTATATATATTTTTCTGTGGCCCTTTAAAGGTATAAAAAAGCATTGCTAATATATAGCAATAAATACTTTGGGTACTGAAGCATCTTAATATGTACATAAAATGATACTTGTATTCATGTGGTTTTCTTTCTGTGATCTGTTGTACTAAAATTCAAAATTACTGTTTTTGCACCATTTAAAAATTATTTTTCTTTTACATTGGTACAAGTTTTGCTGTAAAAGAATGCTGCTTAATTTAAACATCCTTGGTTAATCTTTGGTGTTCAGTAAATGTGATAGAAGGCTAATTATCATGCAACAAATTATTGCAGATCCTAAAAATATTTTTTGAGTTTCTTTCTTGCTCAAAAAATCAACAACCCCTGATTTCTTCAGCTGCTGAGATATCTTGAGTAGATGGGAAAACCTTATAGACACTATTGTAATTTTCATTCAGTTTGCTATCTAATATAGCAAGTAGAACAATTTTGAATTTCAACCTTCTTAAGAATTGATCTGCATTTTCATTTTAAGAATTAAGTTTCTTAAGAGTTTTGCTCCATTTCTCAAAAATAAAAATTGCCTTTTTCAATTGTTATGTCCTAGGTCTTGTACTTCCAATTATGACTTGGCTTATCATTCTAGCTAAGATTCCTTAAACAGGCTGCTGTTAAGTATTTGTATATTATAAATTATCTTGATATTTGTGTTATATTCTTGCAACTATCTTTTTTAAATAACAACCACAAAAAACCCTCTATTCAAATTCAAAGCACACAGGATATAAATACAAGAATAAAATTTCGTCCTATAAACGTAGTAGCATTAACTTGTTTTACATTACATCTGTTGTCTAAATAGCTTTTATTTATAGCTATCAGTTTAACATAGGCATGTTAAGAAAAAAAATTAAACTTCAAGAGTTTTATAAACTGTTTCTAGGTTGCTAAAGAATTTATTTTTCTACTATAGATGGTTTAAACAAAAGCATCAAACTGTACAGAAAAAGCTTATTTCTATTTCAAGTAGGCTTACATTTTTCATTCATATCAATTTAAAGAATTTGTCTAACAGAATGAGAGTTGAGATTTGTTTTTCCACTTAGAATTCCATTTTTTTGTAAGCTAGTGTAATTTAGTTCACCGTGTTGATATACTATTTTATTACCTATCAGATAGGTTTGCAGAACTTGTTTTCAAGTCGTTATAGACAACTATTTGAAACAACCTATTTTTGTTAGGAACTTCTGCTTATCCTATAACCAGTTAGAATGCTGTTCTTTAGTTGGCCTAGAATATGATCCACCGTCATGGCTGTCACATCAAAGCAGCCTTTCACAACCTTGTGCCTGCCAGGATGTTTTGGGTTCCAGTTTCCATCAGCCCCATCCAGCATGATGAGGGATGGTGAGAGTTGTAGGCCAAAATACCTGCAGGGCATTGGGGTGGAGAAGGCAGCCTTACAGCAATGCACAGGGCATACAACAATGCACAAGTATGTCTGTATCTGCATATCCCATAATCTGAAGGCAACTTTAGCACTCCCTGCTGCTACATAAAACTCAATGGTGCCCCTAGGTTGCAAGCTTTGTTAACACTTTGGAAAATACTTGCATGTGTCACCTACTTGCTCCTTCTGTTATCTTTACGTTGAAATTAAAGCGCTACGGATGCTACTCAGAAGGCTTTCAGCAACCCACTTTTCTTTTGCCTGTCGTTTTTTTGCTTTAGCAGCTTTTCATACACACATACCCACTTAAAACATTTGGTTGTTAGGTGAAAACAGGAGGCAAATCAGACACACATGGTCTTTGGAGGCCAAGTGCCCCATATAATCTGTGAGAATCCTATGCATGTCATAGATGTTATAAACAGCTGACCTACACAGAATGATTACTCATCCCGCAGTTTGGCTTGCTTATTTTGGCTAGTGAAGCAATCCTTTATCGCTTACTCCCTGCCCCCTGCCCCCATGTTTCAGGTCCTAGACAATTTGTTGATATTGTGAATTTGGTCAGTTACAGTAATGTGAACAGTGCTCAACAGTTGTCAGTTTGATTTCCTCATGCTTCATACTGACCTTTGTTATTTTCTGTGTGTTTCCGAAATAAACAGTTTAGGCTGCAGTCCTTGGCACTGTTGTGCTTGAGCAAATTCCATTGAGAATCAGTGACATGGATTATGGCCTTAGTCTATGATCCTGAGCTTAGTTACTAGGGAGTCAGGCCCATTGAAGTTGGTGGGACTTATTTCAAAATAGCTGTGCTTAGCATCATGCTGTTGTGTGTCTAATGCGTATTTGAACATTTTATGAGTATGTTTAGTCTCACACATAATGCATTATAAGTGGTATTTTATATTAAATGATGTTTTACAGATTATTTTTACATTACACTCAACTTTAAGGATTTTAACATAGTGTAAATAGGTATACAACTTTAATGAAGAGCAACAATTTTTCTCATTGTATGATTTCTGCATTACTTGAATACTGGTCGCTAGAAACTACCATTGACTTGTTTATTTTTGAGGTACTGGAGTTTAGTTTCTAATCTCTCTTTAAAATGGTAAAGAAATGAACTAATTGGAGAACTTTAAAAATTAGGCCTTAGCTTCCATTGTGATTTTTTTTTTTTTTTACAGTAACTGTGATGCTATATCAGCTGAATATATATATACTTTTAAAGTTCTTTATAATTCATGTAATCTTGTCACACCACCTACAGAATGCTACAGTGAATTAAATATCGGTGAAGCTTATCTGTATGCAGAATGCAATGAATAAAACATTAAGATGCCTACTGTGTATAATGTTTAGTTGCATATTCAACTTCTGAAGGGCAAACAATGGTGAAATTCTGCAATGGGTATTTTTGAAATTCACTTTTAACAAATTGTAAAACATTTCCAGTACAGTTTTAGGCTACCTTATTTAAATGTAGTATGACAATTTGAGAGAAAGGAACACCTACTTTTTAATATAGATGAGCAAGATTTATATGTACATTGATGAAGAGGAGAACACAGTGGGGTGGATCCAGACTTGCCCTTCCACAAATAAAAGCATTTGAGATCTAGTGGATCTTCCTGCCACTTTTTGTGAAATCACTTCCTTATAGCCGCTATCAGACCATCTCACATACTTTCTTGAGTGTTCTCCAACCCTCCATAGCAGGCTTTTGACAGATTGAAGGCTCCCGCAGCCAGAAAATAGCATTTGACCCACAGAAACACCTGTTTCGCTCTATGCAAGTCTGGATCCAACCCAATAGGTTACAGGCTAAATATGATTTATTTTGGGTTATATGCTACCCTGATAACTTGTTGAAAAAACATGACATAAATCCTTTAAATTTGCCATTCTTGTTAACTAAGATAGGACTTCTATGCATGTAAACTTTAGAATGTGTTTCTTACACTTCTACTGAAACTTCACATTGCTGAAGATTTGTTTTTTGTTAAGGCTGCAATATGTGAGGCGTCCACCAAAAAGAAATTATTTCCACTCATTTAATTTTAATTTGTGAAATAACCATGATACAAAAATCAGCAGACTTTTGAAGATAATTTGACTTTTATACACAAAGCAAGTAGTGGCTCCACTGATAGATATGTAAAGCAAAAATGTCATTTTTAAAAATTTGTCGTTGGAGCTCATGGGCTTATAAGGTTTTGCCTGTTTAGCCACTATTTATTTATTTTTCTCTGGCATTCTGTGTTAGCCTAACTCATGCTAGGCTAAGTTTTCAACCCAAATTTTCATGGCAGAAATGCACTTGTCTTTGGCAGCTTTTCCTTCTCTGGACTTAGGAAGCTGCAAATTGACATTGGCTGGAATAGGGAGGGCTGTCCCTTCAAATCTGACTTACGCTCTTTGTCTTTTTGAGTAGGAAAATCACTCTCAAGTTTCCTAGTTATTACTTTCGCTGGGTTATTACTTTGTGTTTGGTACCCTCACTCATATTATGTAATACCAAAAGTTCACTCATCTGAATGGACAGAAGGAATGAATTATTGCTTTGGTTGAACCCAGGGCACTCAGGTTTGTCTGCAACTTCCTGGTAGTTGCCAACAGTGGGTGCAAACCCAAGCAACTGGAAAATGCATGTGGACTAAATTACCTCATGGTAGTTTTCTTGTTAATAGTTAAAAGCTATTCGTTGGAACCCTTTTCTGGCCTCATAAAAACATGGGGGAAAAAACATCCTTCATAAAGTTGTGAAAGCTCACTATAGCATATACTGAAGAAATGTATGCCCTGAATTCCACTTCATCAAAAGTACTATCTATATTTTCTCTCTGTTTAAGCACAAAAGGGGATGGGAACAATTACTGAGTTCTCCCCACCGTCCAACCTTACATTGGGTCATTTGGGTATTCCAAAGACTAAAGAACATGACATGCTATCGTAGGAGGGTGCACTCAACACATGCATCTGATGTGTACAGAACACTTATGTGTACAGTGGCACTATGGGTTAAGAACCTAATTCATTCTGGAGATCCGTTCTTAACCTGAAACTGTTCTTAACCTGAGGTACCACTTTAGCTAATGGGGCCTCGCGCTGCCGCCACACAATTTCTGTTCTCATCCTGAAGCAAAGTTCTTAACCCAAGGTAATATTTCTGGGTTAGCAGAGTCTGTAACCTGAAGCGTCTGTAACCTGAAGTGTCTGTAACCCGAGGTACCACCATACAGATGTCCACAGAAATGTGTGAGCAGCCGTTACTGAAAAAAAGATTGGCTGCTACTTTCCAATCTAAAAAACTCTCATAGACATTGGCTGAACTACTAAGATGTGATATAATTCTCAAACCCTTTTTCTTAATGAAAATGTGTTGATGGTGGCTAGAAGGTCAGTGCACTCAGAATTTTGTTGATCTGCATCTTCACACACACTGAACTTACACGTAATGCTTTTATACAAGACAGCTATTGTGGTTTAGAGTCTCGGACAGACAATGGAGACCAAGGTTCAAATCCTCCACGGGGATGACTAGTTGCACTCTGCCTCAACTACCTTACAGGTTTATTGTGAGAATAAGGTAGGGAACACCATCTATGCTGCTTTGAGTGTCTTCAGGGGAAATCCCACCCCATGTGTTAATTCCTTCATGTCCCCTTAAGGTGCTTGGAATGACATTTTAGCCTTAACTTACCAAGAGAAGACTTGATTCTTCCATGCTTATACCTTTGTTTGCTTTTATGCTGCTGTTTTAAAATTGTGCTAGGCTTTTGTGTGTGTGTGTGTGAAATTTAATTGTAATTTTTGATTCCTTGTAAGATGCCCTGGGAATTGATTGAAGGGTGTGGTATAAATCTCAGTACTGTGGTACCTTGATTCTCAAAATCTGTTTCAGAAGACCGTTCTAAAGCCAAAGCGTTCCAAAACCAAGGTGCGCTTTCCCATAGAAAGTAATGCAAAATGGATTAATCCGTTACAGACTTTTAAAAACAACCCCTAAATCAGCAATTTAACATGATTTTTACTATCTAACAAGACCATTTCTGGGTTAGGGTTATGGTTAATTTTAGGATTGGGTTAGTGTTAGTGTTAGGGTAAGGATTAGAATTAGGGTTAGGGTCAGTGTCGTTTTATGCTTTGTGATTTTGATTCATTTGCGGTTGGTTTGCTTTTTTCAATTTGTTGCGTTGCTGCTTTTCATGAGTTGCAAGTTTGTTGCCTTTGTGGTTTTCTGGATAGTTTCAATTTTAATTTTGAATACTCAGCTGGGGAGTTCTAAGCCTCCACTTCCCAGCTGAGAGATCCCCACCAGCTCCTGCTTGCACGGGAGTAGGAGCTGGATCGGGGCAGCTCAGCTGGGGAGGTGCAGGCTCCCTCACACTTTCCATTGAGGGGTCTGGGCCTGCACTCCCCTCAAGGGAGAAGTTTAAAGGAGTCTCTACCTCAGCATCAGAGCCCCTGCACCACCTGAAGGCAGCCAGGTGGAATAGTTGCTGGGGTGGTGAAGGTGGAGGCAGGCCGGCAGCTGCATCTGAGAGCCCCTAAACTGCTGCTGAGGCAGCTGTCAGGCTGTCTCAAAATTGCCATGCTATGCTCCTTTAAACTTCTCTGTTGAGGTGAACGCAGCCATGCACCCTGCAGTGGAAAAGTGTGACGGAGCCTGCACCTCTCCAGCTGAGCAGCCCCGATCCAGCTCCTACTCCCGTGCAAGCAGGAGCGGGGGCACTCAAAACGGAAGTGTGCCACTGGAAAAGGAAGTGTAACACTCAAAACAGATACGTTCAGATTCTGAAAAAAGTTCACAAACCAGAACACCTACTTCCCGGTTTGCGTTGTTGGAATTCCAAGTTGTTTGTGAACTAAGCTGTTTGGAAACCGTGGTACCACCGTATTGTGTAAATACCCACCCTGGGACCTTAGAGTAAAGGGGTGGGTGATAAATAATAAATAAACAAACAAACAAACAAAGAGAAGAGCCTCGTGGTTGATTGGGCACCTATGTCCAGCTTTTCAGCCCTACTGCACCACAGTGGCCTCGGAAAAGTGGGCATAAGACGTTTCAACTCAAATTGCAGTTATAAATATGCACTGAATTGGTTTGAGCAATTTATTATTTGGAACTGTTTGGTCATTCCTGGACAAGAAATCGCAACTCAGCTGCTCCAAAGTGGTCAGGACACCTGAATGTATTATGTGGATGAGGCTCTCTGATCTATAGTTTCGTAGGATACATTTTGTGGTGACAGATGTAATGTTGAAATTGGCTGGTGAAAATAATGAATAACCATGCAATTACATATTGCTGCTGATGGCTACCATATTAAGGAATTGGCATGTAAAAGGCACAGTCTGTTCCAGGAATATGTTGTGGTGTAATTCTACTAATATTGATATAAGTAATTGGCCAGGTTCTGGTCATATTTGCAGATTGTGGCCTCTTGGGTTTTTGCACAAGACTTCAAGGTGCTAGATGAGTGCTAGATGATTGTATGATTTTTGTAAAATGTGGCAACTTCGATAGTAACTGTCCCCTGACTGCTGATTTTTGCCTTTTCCTTCAAAAGGTGTGAATAGTGGTTACTATAGAAAGCAGCATGGCTTCCTAATCTATTGAGATGTCATGCCAAAACATTCTAATAGTATATATAGCATAACAAATTGGCTACTGTAAACAAGCAGTTATGAAAGTCTTCATTTGACTAGCAAGTATTATGAACTGTCTGGCTTTGGTAGGTTAATGCAAAACAACAAACACACAATTAAATTTCACTTGGGAAGAGGATGAATGCTTGTGCTCTTTGTGTTCCAACTTACAATCATTGATCTGCCAGCACCTCACCCTGATACAGTATATCAGCAAGGGCAGTGGAGCAATGCTGCCTTCAGGATTAACGTTGCCTTACAGGCCAAAATAAGACAACCTGGCGGGAGAAGGGTTCCTCAAAATATTATTGTAGGTCTGAGACCGAGTGTGTGTGGAAATGGAGCAGGATTTAGTCTGTTTCAGAAAAAGGGATATGGCTTCAGATTTTCACAAGGACCAATTTGAAATTGGTGATATGTGGAGAGCGTTTGTTTAAAGGAGCGAACGGCATGCAGTGAACTGTCGGGAAGCGGCAGCACGCTGCTGGTGAAGTACACACTGCTGATAGACTCCATATTTACAGCACATGGCTTGCAGGAAACAGGTTTAAATTGAGATGGCTATATCATGAAACACTAACACAGGTAAGCACTAGCCTGTTTAAGTGAGGTCTAAAACTAACCAAGGTATTAAGTCTGGTGGAAGAGATTGTAAGAGAAAGTAAACGTTCTGAGTGTGATGAGTCAACCAGATGAGG